TTCTGAGTTCAAATCTCAGCAAGAGTTCTTATTTGCTGATTCATGGTTTGTAAAATTGAAATAGGGCTATGAATTTTTATGTCTTTATTAAAGTTTTTGTTTTATAAGTCATTGTTTTTATTTGACAGTTATTAAAATCAAGGTTTTTTAAACTTGATTAGAACTCTAACAGTATGATTTAAAAAAAACAACAACTATTCTTATTTAATGAAATTTTCCGAGAATCTATCATAGTATAAAGCGACTTGACGAGTAAAATATCACTTGCCACAATGTCCAAGCGAAAATAGTGTTTGACAAATAGCAAAATGTACTAAATTTTCTGTACGTTTTCTAATTTTGACATCTGCTTACTCAACTGCCGGCATATAATATGATAATATCTGCTAATCGTGAAATTCGCTCATATCTAACACCCGACCGCGCCGGTGAGCCCCGGTTGTATACAACCGTGGTGATCTCTCAGTTTTTTCCGGTTCACCATGGTTTGTCCCTTTTCTTCACGGAATTTCAAAGATCCAACGCCGGTTTACCACGGTTGATCATGGTTGACTAAACCGTGGCAAACCGGGACACCAAACCGGGACTGTGTAAATGGGGCTTAAACCGCCCTAGCATGACTGTATTACTATTAGTACTAGCAAGAAAAAAAAAAGGTCTTCAAATCAATGAAATTGAAATCACCGAATTCTGATCGCGACAATATCATAATACTTTTAAGATGTTGTCAATCAGGGTTATAAATGAAAAAGGGAGACAAAAGAAAAATACTTATCTATTGAGACTTGAATTTCAATTGTATCTTTCTAGAATACGCTTTCTAGCGTCAATATTAAGAGGCTATTTTTTCGTTTGAGTGAAATATGGAATATATTTTCACGAAACATGATAAAATGCCACATATTTTCACGAGCCGGGACGGCGAGTGAAAATATGTGGTATTTTATCATGTTGAGTGAAAATATATACCATATTTCACGAAAAACGAAAAAATAATCTTTTTATTTAATTTCTTATCAAAGAAAAATAGTTGCGGACCTCCTTTGCTTGCTACGCAACTGCAATTGTACAGCGCGCAGTAATATAATTATTGTCTTGTTTTGCACGCGATATTTAGCTCTACATTGTGACGTCACGTAAACAACTCTAAAAACGTCTATACAGCGTTAATGACTGAATTAAAGATATTGGTGTTCGGATTAATTTTCTTAGTTAGACCATTTTCTATCATTCTAGATAGTTTTCAAAACAAAATTCAACAAAAAGTTGTTTTGTATTTATCAGATTTTTCAAACAAAATGACGAAAAAATTCCCTAAAAATAAATATGAGTTTTGACTCCGCCCACTTTCATATTTATATTTCATATTTATTTTTAAAAAATATGAAATATATTTGACTGATATAGCACCATATTTCATGGGTAAAATTAAATAATACATTATATAGCAGCTCTAATCCTCGATATTTAGGTTCATAAAAGAAAAAAATTAAAACAAAGATCCTTTTTGTTAAATGGCAATTACAGTAAAAATAACTATGAGAGCGTTTTAAATTAAAATTCTACTACTTTTAATCATGATTTTAACATGAATTTATATCTTGCGACATTTAACGGTAGTGTTGCGACATTTAACGGTAGCGGCAATTCGTGCGACATTTATCGTTAACATTGCGACATTTAACGGCAAATGATTTTGCGACATTTAGCGACAGTTGCGACATTTAGCGGTATTGGTGCGACATTAGCGGTAAGTGCGACATTTAGCGGCGTTGCGACATGTAACGGCGCCATACAAGTAATTTGCTTTATCGTTATTCAATATAGTATTAAAAGTTGGTTAAATTTAAGTTTGAAGAATACACATACGTTAGCATTGCTATGATGATCATTTTTAAGCTTTGTATTTGTCAAACTTTCCTGAACACTTCTAGATTGACCTCGTAGTGACATGCCTCAACAATATTTCCGCATTTTGTCGGCGTAGTGTCATAGTCTTCAGCATTTTGCGTTGCAAAATATATAAAGGCTTGCTGGAATTAAAGCCCGTTGCTGTTTTTTTATATATAATAATTCTTCATTGTAAGAACTGTTTCTAAGTTCCTCAAATGATTTCATCCAAAATTTCAGAGAAGTGTTGTAGTCAAGTGCCTTGGTGCAAATTGCAAGGATTTTGCGACTTATTTATTTGTTATCAACTTTGGCGAAATCTTTTCTCTTTTGTGTTTGTTTCCAAATGATTTACAGGAGAAGTACTGTTCTTTGTGCTAGACCTACTACATTTACCAAGGAACTTCAACCACATATAACTGAAGTTTGCCCGAAACCTGCATTTGTCAAAGAATTATTGTCACACAGTGCACCCGCGCATGTTATCAAGTTTTGTGATTTAATCGTTTTTTCTTACGAAGTAAAAATCCTCTGTTGATTTTATCATATGTAACAAATATTGACATTACTATTCTGTGTGCATACTAAGCTAATAAAACAAATTATTATTTGATGAAATCCTGGTTCTGTGACAATTCCTGCCACTTGCTTATTTTACCTTTTTATTGAGAAGAGGGAATACAATCATATCTAATGCCGTTAAAGAGATGTTTGGTAATTTCAAATAAACTTCTGATATCACAGTCATATTGAATAACATTTGCTGTCAGTCGCAGACATAAACATTACACACAAGGGTGTTCTATTTGACACATTTATGATTCAGTGATCACAATTATATTTTAACATTAAATTTAGATTTCTTTTACAAGGTAACCACTTTTACAAGTGTACCAAGAACACAGCAGACGAATAGTGAAAGGTTTTTATTTTGTAAACCCGTCACCTAATTATTTTTTTTATCAAGCATTAATTAGATTTCTGTGTATCTTGACACTTGTAATTAAAATGAATTTCAAATAAACATTAAGATTTTCGTATGAGCTAATAATTAATATATGAATATCTGAACATTAACAATTATTGAAATAATACTCTATCATACTAAACTAGTAGTAAGGTTAAAAACTTTTATTCAATAGAGATCTAGACACAGCTCTACTGTTAGGGAATTTTGAAAGCATCGACTTTGTAATGCAGGGTTGTCTGGTTCAATCATCGGGTGAGGCTAGATATGAGCCGTGTCATGACAAAACCAACATAATGGGTTGGTGACCAGCATGGATCCAGACCAGCCTGCGCATCCGCGCAGTCTAATCACAATCCATGCTGTTCGCTATCAGTTTCTCTACTTGTAATAGAGATGGTAAGCGAACAGCATGGATCCTGATCAAACTGCGCGGATGCGCAGGCTGGTCTGGATCCATGCTGGTCGCAAACGCATAATGTTAGTTTTGTCGTGACAAGGCTCATATGTTCGTGACAAATGATCTCGGATATCAAGTCTAATGTTTAATGGTCGGTTGTCTCTCACCAGTAATTCAAAAATCATGTGGGATTAGTAGCAGGGAAATTGGTAATTGTCGAGGAGGACCAACCGTGATATGACCATATATGTGTTGATGTCGACTTAAAAAAACAACAACAACAACAACAACAAACCTAACAAAACATACCCCCCCCCCCAAAAAAAAAAAAAAAAAAAAAAAAAGAAAAAGAAAATAACTAAGATACTGCATTTTTTACATTTATGACATATTAAATTAGTTAATCAAGGCTTTAATATTTGGAGTTGGTATCATTTGTGTTAATGTATAATACTTTAACATTATGTAGTGCGGAAATGAATCATATACCATTTCGAAATATAACGAATTATATGATTGAGGGCGATGATAAGGTTTTTGTTTCTAAAATAGTGTATTGAATTGTTATTGATGAGTTTTAAAGTACCTGCATGTGTATAAAATGTACAAATGCATGAATAGGCAGGGCTAGCAATGAGAAAAAATATATAAGCCCACAAACCAAAACTAATTATGGTTACTATATAAAGACAAAAGATATTGACATGAGAGGAAATCTATATATAGACTCATATATATTTAATTGCTTATCTTGATTAACGTATGGTTACATTTATATCGGACAAACGTACGTAAAAATATGACGTTACGTTCAATGAAGGTCTCATACAAACAAGATTCATTTTCGTCTTCTGCCTTGTTTTGTCGGGCCCTTATAGGTGATTTTCTCGCTGCTCTGCTTTCTTTTAAGGCATAAGATATTTTTGTAATGGTCATACGGTTTTCTTTTTGTACTTTCTGTAAATGATTATTTATGTGTTTTCTGTAACCATGACAATTGTTATAATTTCATTTGGCGGGACACTGTCTCTAGTTAAGAAATATGTTAGCTAAGAACGAGGTTTGGTACACCATTTAGTTGTTAGAACTCCTCACCCCGGCAGGGTTTTACTGATTGACCATTCAGGGCGGTGACCCACCTTGTTTCTTTTTTACGTCTTGTCTAAATTTATGTGTTTTTGTATTTATATCATAATTATATTATGAAAACAACGATTTTTATGAAAACAATGAAACAATGTATGTGAGACCTTCTGTTACCTGATTGATACTTTTGTTAGGTCGGTGATTTCCAAGATTTTCTGAGTAAGTTGTTGCTTCAAAAGCTTAAAATGAGTTGGGTGTATGACGTGATTGATGAAGGTGTATTTGGATGTTTATTACTTATTTCCCGATTCTGTGGTCACTGAAAGTTGTATAAATATGGAATAACTATATCCTTCCTGCAAACAGAAGTCTTCTCTCCTTACGACGCTCTGAAAGGTACATTGTATTGTTTTTAAAATGATCTTTATTTAAGTTTATTATATCGCAAATTACAAGAAACTGACTTAGTTATAATATTTGCAATATAAGATTGACAAAGGTTTATTTATTTTTTGTCTGATCCTATTTTGTAAATTAATGTTTTAAGTTAGTAAGTATTTTTCAAATTAGAAGCACATTTATTTTAAAAAATCACTCACTTTTTACTGATTTGACCTGTGAATTTTGTAATTCTGTATTGATTTGTAATTTAGGTAGCAACCAAATAACAATGTATTCTGCCAGTGTTTTATTGTTGGCTGTTGTTGGAATCGCCACAGTCACAGCTCATTATGGTCATCACGGCATGTACAGAGGTTATGGTTCATTGTATGGTATTGGTTATGGATATCCACGCTTTGGTTATGGCTCTCTTTATGGAGGTTATGGTGGTTTTGGTGGATACGGTTATCCATACGGTAGAATTGGCTATGGTTCTATGTATGGTGGCTATGGATATCCATACGGGGGAATCGGCTATGGATTAATGTATGGCGGTTTAGGCTATGGAGGTTATAGAAGATTTGGCGGATATGATTACAAGTTTGGAAAACACTCACGTTACATTTCCAGTAAGTACACATTACTAGACTAAACATTTCCTTCTGATGTAATCTTAAGGAGTATTATTTGATTATCATTATCTTTAAGTTTTTTTATATATATTTTTGTAAATTAATATTAAGTTAAATCTTGAATATTTTATTCCATATATTCATCTATAGATTCATACCAGTTTGCTCATACGATCAGCCAATGATATAAATAAAAAAGTATTTTTTATTGTCCAAATTTGAATATTTATATTTGGTAATTTTGTTATATATTATTCTTCTAGGTAAAAAATATGGATACGGTTATTGATCCCCGGATGAGTTTTGTTTCTAAAGAACCATTGACCTCGCTGTGATTTTGAATACTAGATTGACAATTTGACAATACCAATGCTTAGAAGTCGCGGTATGCTTATTTTACCTGACGTTACATTGACCTGCATCATAGAAATATGGCAACACCAGTACCAGTTAATACCAGAAGTTATAACAGTGAACTTATTAAATGGACAATATGCTAACATATAACCATATCTCATTTGTAATTTATTTGTTTCGGTTTGTAAATTGCTAAAACATTTATTTTCACAGAATATTAAAAAAAATAAAAAAATACTTTAATACTGTAATAGTTTTGCTAATGTGTAAACCCCTATGTGTTATTTTCTTCTTATGTATTGGAATGCATGTTGTTGTATATTATGTTGTTTATTATTAAAGTGCAATATAAAACTTTAGGTCTTGTGTGTTATATATAACTCTTTACATACATGTATATTTGAAGAGATTTACAAACTGATTGTTAATTATTCTTTACGAGTTCATTCTTGTTTATATTTAGCAACGTATTTCCAAGATTTTTTTTGGTTTAATTAATTTTGTTGTTTTCACTGTTATATAAACAGACATGTTGGAAATTCCAAGATCTGTAGACATCGTCTAGCAAATCAATAATGCATGGGCTTTTGTTAAAAATTCATTGAAGATATTAAAATGCGGAAAAAGAAAGCACGAACTGTGCCACATTCAATATGCATGCAAGTACACACAAAAATATGGCCATGCTGGTGAACCAGTCTGGAAGTGCAATGGAAATTTACTGCTTTGTACTAGTCAAAATTAGCAGAAAATTACAACACGTACTGCACTATTGCCATACAATATTAAATCAGTTTTAATTAAGAAGAAGTTTAATTTATACTGATCATTTAAAGAATGTTTGTATATGTTACTGAGTATTTGTCTTGATGAATGACAAACTAGCTTACAAAGACCGTCTGTGTGCGGCTGTACTATGTTACGATTATATAAAACTATAAGAGCGAACAATACTGTAATATGATATAACCACCTGCCCATCGCACCAATTCGGATGGAGACAAGGGCTTGAGCTCTTTTATGACAATAATCAAGTTGAAAATGAATTGCATGTTTTCTTCAATTGTAGTGTTAAGGATGATTTATGAGTAGAATAACATTATTGTACTCTAAGGCAACTTGTCATCTGTAATGCACGATTCTGAAAATATGTTCACTTGCTTTTTAATATTGATCCAAAAATGAAAGGAAACTGTGCTGAAACATGTAAAAAATATTTTAGATAGACTCGTTTCATACAATATGGGAATAAATATGAAATAATTAAGTACATACTTTCATTGACTTATAAATAATCCACATGTATTTATAGTTACGATTACATAAAATTATGAAGTCTGAATATAAAAGCGAACAAAATTGTAAACTGACATTGCCACCTGCTTCTCGGTCAGCAGGCCTCGACATTAGCGGTGGTCCATTGGTCCGAGACCACCTGATTTTGGCAAGGACCACCTAATTTTACAGGCAACTGGTCCGTTAGACCACTTGAATTTTCCAAATGGTGCAGGACTCATCTCGGAGAATGGTGATTTGGTCGAAAAATTTGTTCTATAATTGTTGTTTAAAACCATTTCTCTGATGTACAGGTATATGTTCATTCATGTCATTAGTTTAAAAAGATCTTAAGACATCCATAACTTTTTATTAACTCGCTAACAGTGTAGAAAATTATTTTAATAATTAAAGTATAAAATTCATTCAAATGTCTCTAGTACTGCATTGAATTTATAACATTGTATCACTATGGGATATCGGATAAACACATGAATAATGGTGCAAACAAAGGCAAAGGAAAAATAAATTAAATATTTAGTAATCTTTGGCTACTTTTTTAAACGATCAGAGATCCAATTTTTTCTTATCTAAAGTACTTTGTCAGCTTTTGTAAATTTAGATTTAGAGTTACACCGATTCGTATGGAGACCGGCCGTTGTAAGGGCCTGAGCATAGAAGATAAAATGTGTCCATTTTGTAATGATAATTCAGTTGAAAATGAATGATATGTTGTGTTCAACTGTAGGCTTTATGATTATTATGATTAGATTTATACTCTAGAGCAAAAGAGCATGATAGTTTGTTCTCTTAAGTACATATCCTGACTTGTTTTCCAATAAAGATAAAAATAATAAGATATTGTGCCAAAACCTGTAAAAAATTTTACATAGACGTCGTTTTATACTTTGTAAATGACATATTGCAATAGATGTGAAATGTTTAAAAGTACATCTTTTTATTATTTTATAAATCTATCTTTTTATATTATATCAGAAGTTTTTTAAATGCATTTGATCCGATGCTCTTATTCGTGCTTTTAAAAAATATTTAATACTTATTTTACCAGAAATAATTGTTTTATGTCTTTCTTCTCCAATATTTTAACACCATGTTTAGTTTAGATCAACTGTTAATGTAAATTTCAAATGGAATGGCATTGCATCTGTTTATTTTGTTTTAAAAGTAATATATGTAGAAATAAATGTTTTATCATGCATATACACTATTGAGATGTAAATAAAAATACTATAGTCTATGCTACTAATGTATTTATATTATGTCAGAAAACGTTTTTATGCATGTGGCCCAATGCTGTTTATCATCTCTTTTTTATCAATTTGATATTCGTTTTAATCCATGTAGTAACAAGGTTGTTTTTATTTTTTTCTTGTATCATGTTAAATTAATGCAGAGAGCAGTAATGCAAGTTCAAGAGAAAGTTCCTAAAGGATTCTATTATTGAAATAATCCTGACGTGTTGCGCGCTTTCCCTGTTTTTAATGTTTAAAGAACTGACGTGATTTCTGAGGACGCTATGTCTATTTTGTCAAAAAATGGAGATTCAGAATTATAAGTTGTTTCTGTTAGTTGTTTATTTCCAACTTTAAGATATGTTTATGATTGTAAGCACTGGTTTAACGCAGTTGGTTTAACTAAGTGTTTGGAATAACTTTTATCACGGATAATTATATAAATAGTATCATTTTGTGAATATGGTACGATGAATTTGATTTAATACTTTCCCATAGTTAGATGACGTAAGATGTTCTCACTTAAAACGATCAGCAAGTTTGCTGGTATGATGTTGACACGCATTTCTAGTAAGTTGTGTGGTTTTGTTTTAAAGCTGCTTGTAAATATCCCAGTGGTTTGTGTTTTGATGCTTATTTTAGCTTTGTCATGATCATCACGCATATTAAATACTTTAAAAACTAAAGAATTCGGCGTTTTCATAATTCTGAACCAATACTTTATCATTCTGATTTTACGACATATAATCAACGGAAATCGTCCAAATTCACCGTAAATTGCAGAACAGACAGTCTGTTGACGAACTTTTAAAAGTTTTTTTTTTAAAATTTCAAATCAAATTTTTCTATATCGGGTGCCTTATGGAAGCCCTAAATTTTACATTCATAATTCAAAATCGAAGTGATCATGGAATCAAATAACTTAATTTATCTAGTGATACGGTTTCAAATAGTGAAGTAAGCGAAAATATAGCTTTCATAGCTTGACTTTTGTGCCTGAAAAAGACTTCCAGTGGCAGACAAAGTTACACCTAAATATGTAAATTTAGTAACAATGTTAAGTCTATGATTATCATAAAATATATCAATAGTTTCAGGGCTATTACATACTATTACTACGGTTTTATCAATATTAACACTGATACCCCAATTGCAAAAATAAGAATGTAAATTATTTAGATGTTTTTGTAACGCTTCTTTGGTATAAGATATTAACATCGTATCATCCGCAAAAAGAAGTAAACTTAGATGTAATTCGTCAACAGTGAACGAGTCAATATCTAGAGTCGTCATATAAATATTGATACATATCATTTATAAAGAATAAAAACAACATAGCGGATAATAGTTCGCCTTGTTTAACGCCTTTAAAACTCTCAAAATTATAACTAAATCTGCATTACCTGTCCATTTACACTACACAAGAGATTTAACACTTTCATAAATTTTCTGTAACATATTAACAAACTTTAACAAATTTAATTTTTAATAAAATTTTAATTTTAACAAACGAAGCTCCATAAGATAATAATTTATACCAAATTCCGATTCTGTAAACAACATCAAAAGCTTTCAAGAAATCGACAAATGCTAAATATAGCTTCTTTTTTATCTTAACTTTATCTTCAATTTAAGTTAAAACAAAGTAATTTTATCCTTTCAAAATCCAAATTGAAAATCGCTTAACATACTATTGTCCTCGGCCCAATTTCGGAGTCTTGAATCTAATAAAGTTGAAAAGATTTTGGAAAATATACTACTTAATGCAATACCGACATTATAAAGGTCAGCATTTTTGGGAACAGGAACAATAACACCTTTAGTCCGTCTATCTGGATAAATAAAATGAGTAAACATAAAATTAAATAGTTTGCATAATTACGATGCAATAATATCTTTACACTCAACAATCATGTCTAGGATTAAATAATCTATTCCACCGCTTTTACCACTCTTTAACATATTTAGAGCTTTCAATACTTCATCAAGGCTACACAAAATATCAAGTTGTTCCACATTGATGTTAACATCACTGTTTAATAATTTTTCAGCATCATCATTTATAAATTCGTTATTATCAGCAAAAAACATGAACATGATTTACAATTGCAAAGTCTGTGTGAATGTCTACATGTTTTAAAACCTTACTAGAAATAAACCTAAGAACATGATTTACAATTGTTAAGTCGATGATTTTCACCATCTTAAAATACGAAAAAAATGGCGAATAAGTAAAGCGTTAATATTTGGATTTTTATACATGTAAACGATAAGTTCTAACTTGTGCGGTTATTACCACAACGTGTTTTATGGTTAAGCCTATTGGTAACGTTTTCTTCCATAATTAGCTATTGTTATTGTCAATTGTTATTGATGATAATTAAATCTTTTGTCATCAAATAAATAGGCCTTGTTTAGACCACGTATAATATGCTGTGTAATGACAATGTCAAAAAGACCTCAGCAGGGTCAAAATCCAAGAAATAAAATATTAAACGTGTTCTAGAAAAACCCACAAACCAAATCTATCTATAGTTACTAAGTAAAGACATAAAATATTGACATGTTATGTACTACTATAAACTGCATCATATGAGCTTTAATGCGCCTCTTTGTTGTTAACGTATGATAAGGGTTATATCGAGGTTATGTACGTAAAATATGACGTTACGTTCTTTGGAGGTCTCACACAAACAAAGTCTCACTGAAATACGATTTGTATAATTGTTCACTGTATACCAAAATTGTCTGTGAACAATGCAGCATAAAATTATTTCGTGGTTTCATATAGGAAGATGACTATATTTGTAGTGTCAATGCACATCCCTATTTTCACTTATCACAAAATCGCTACATTTTGATCATTATTTCATTTTACTGTGCTGCGAAAGTTTAACAGTAATCATGTAATTTTCATTTTTTCAAACTTTTTATGTACTCGAAGAATCTTTGGCCGTTTTACAATTTCATTAAATGACATATTTTTATTATTCCTGCCTTTTAAATGCGCTAAGTTTAGTCTATTCACAACTACCCGTAAGTTTGAGCAACTGATATGTCGCATATTTTACCAAACGGGCAAGTAGCTTATAAGGGATTGGTCTGCATAGGGCTCATTTTCTATAAATACTTCAATTTAAAGCATTTTCTAATAAAATATTTCTTAAGGAAACACTATTTATAGAGTTGTAAAAATATTTTTTCTAAAACAATTTATTATCTGCTACATATAAATATGTAATATCGGATCATTTATCTTCCACTTACCAACAACATTCGTATATAACTAGATCAGGGTTTGTTATCATGTTTGATTTTCAATACTATCAACATAATACAGGCCTACCTATTCACTTAAATAATTTTTGGAATTTACTTGTAATTTGTCCTTAATTATTATATACACATTGTAACGGTTTGCAAAACAATACTGTTGGCTGCAACTATTAAGAAAACAATGCTTGTTGTGAAATTAATGTATGTGAGACATTCTCTTTAAGTGTTTCATAATTTTGGTAGGTTGGGGATTTCCCAGATTTTCTGAGTAAGGTGTTACCTCAAAATGAGTTGTGTGTATAACGTGATTGATGAAGGTGTATTTGGATGTTTATTACTTATTTCCCCATTCTGTGGTCACTGATTCTTGTATATAAATATGCCATCAGTTTATCCTTCCTGTATAGTGAAAGTCTTCTCTCTGTACTCAAAGAATCGCTAGAACCTCAAACCAGGTAAGGTTCGTTTTTCCTTTAAAGTAACTATGCACTTGATTATATGGTGATAGTTTTAGTATTTGCAATGTTAAACTAAGGTATTTTTATAGAGACCTGAATTAATTTTATCAATTTCAATTTTTCTCAGAGAATTATAAAACAGTACCATTAAAATGTAACTTACTATATCGAAATTTTTGTACAATGTTTATTTTTCTAAAATCAAAGTAAACATATTCCTATTCTTTTAAAGTTAATCTTCCTATTAGTTCATAAATGCTATATCTGTATTAGATACTTAAATATGATCAGTCTTACTCAGAATTTTTATTTTTAAATAAGATGCATTTTTTTAAAAAAATCTTGTGATTTCCTATTAAAATTTTATGAAATAAAATATGAAATAGCAAGTGTTCAGATAAAAAACTAAATGGAAAAATATAAGTAAAACGCACATTGAAATATTGATGCAAAGGAAATAAAAGCAAAAAACGTTAACTATTTATCAATTTAACCATTACATGTTTTGTTTGTCTTAAAATTTTTTTCATGTATAACAAAAGTGTATTGTACAAATGTACTTTTACAGATTTCAGCCATGAAGTACCTCAGTGTTTTATTGTTGGCTGTTGTTGGCATCGCCACAGTCACAGCACATTATGGCCATCACGGCATGTACAGAGGTTATGGTTCAATGTATGGTATGGGTTATGGATATCCACGCTTTGGTTATGGTTCCCTTTATGGAGGTTACGTGGGAATGGGTTATGGATACGGTGGATACGGTGGAATTGGCTATGGTTCTATGTATGGTGGGTATGGATATCCATACGGTGGAATCGGCTATGGATCAATGTATGGTGGTCTAGGATATGGAGGTTATAGAAGATTTGGCGGATATGGTAACAAGTATGGAAAATACCCACGTTACATTTCCAGTGAGTATGCTTTACTATCTTATTTCTAAATTTATATTTGCGGAGTTGCAAATTAATACATTGAGGTGAATAAGTCTACAATGGATACATTTTCAAATATACATCATTTGAATAGTTTTACTATTAATTTCTTGAAAACAATGTTGATGTAGTTCTAAATAATTTAGAATTACCAATTACATGAATAATTATTATATTTTGTTTCCATAACAAATTTTATTATTTGTTGTATATAAAAATGTAATTTCGGATCATATATATCACACTATCCAAAATATCCATATATAATTATTTCATGGTTTGTTGTCAGTTATGATACTTGCAACATACTGGTAATTGTTTGTGGTATTGCCGGACCAATTCAGTCACTTTTAAAAATACATGTTTCTTATCTTATTATGTTTGCAATTATATTACTTTCTATTTTCATAACATATATATTATCACTGTATCAACCGTTCGAATCTTTTGCTGATATGTTTCACAAGTAATATACGAAAAGCAAGAACATATTTTTATGTTATTAAATAATATTTTTCTTCTCTTTCAGACAAGAAGTATGGATATGGATATTGATTTAAACGAAAAAAATAATTTGGAATAAATATATCTATAAATTTTGTGATTCTTCTGACGTTGACTAAAGATTTACATTACAACATGATGTATTTTAAGTTACTTTCGGTAAAGCTGTTTCAATAGGATTTAACATTTGTCGACCAACAGACTCACAGGAGCGCAACCGACAACAAAACAAATACATTTAACTGGCAATAAATTTACCAAATATGGGAACCGTGAATATAGGATCTAGTGCTTCTTCGTATTTATTTCCTTGAAAATGTTTAAACAAACTATGACAATTTCGTTACTGTTCTAAAATGTGTACCGAATTGTTTAATGAATGTATTATAATTATATTGTTAATATGAATGTTATTAAAATGCAATATAAAACAATACTGCTGTTTGTTCTGTTTCTTTGTTGTTTAAAATGAATCTGAATATAAAGTTGTTGTTTAGTGGAGACTCACAGTTTTGAATTGTTAAACAAAAAAAAAAACAACAAAAAACAATGTCGTTATCAAGCTCAAACTGTGTTTGGTGACTATTAACTAAATAGTTTTTTCACCCATTAAGCTCAAGCAATACTTTTTTCATTTCTCAAAACCTTTCTCATTTTTGCTGTCCCGTTATCATTTCCACAACAGTACTCGTTGGCCTTATAGATGAAACATTTTTAACTTCTTTTGCGTCTTGGTAATTAGTACAGTCAAAGAAATTCGGTATTTTGTATGGGACTGAAGTAAACTGTCAGAGTACAACTCTTAAATTAGTATTCAGGACTAAACATTTTTTTATTATAATTTTACAGTGAATATGATATAAGAACACAATCAGAGGGTAGTCAAACTTAATTTCTCTTTATTACTTTTGAATCGGATCACCTTCTTTAATACAAGAAACAATATACATGTTTCCTTATAAACTTATTTAAGAATTCTATAGAAAATCCTCTTCAAATTGACCTATATGCCCGGTTGAATTAAACACATGTTTCGAAGCTTAATTATTTTTTTTACAACAATAGTAAATGTTGGAGACAGATTGACATGTTTATATATTTTTAGCGTTCTTTATTATTCATTCTACATGTCTATAGGTAACACAAAAACAGAGAAATATTATACATTACAAACCAAAAGACTTGTTTTTCATGATGCATAGTTAACGTAGTGTCATACATACTTATTGCAAACATTTAATATCAATGTCAGGTCTCGACACTAACTTTTTCAGCAGGTGGTATTACGGACCACTCATTTAATATCAATGTCATTGTTTTGTCATTGAATAGATTTATTGTCTTTTGGTTGTGACATTATTTATAAAGAAGTAATAATTATGGCCACTTATTGAACTATAATAAATACTCCTAGAATTTATGTATTTTTCTTTCCCTCAATATTCTAGGTATCAAATTAAATGATATTGAGCCAAATAAGTTTACGTTTCGCCGTAAGTCCTTTCAATTTTACAATGACTAAAGTGTCCAAAAGAAAATTCTGTAAATGTCCACCGGAATAGACCTGTAACGTTCAGTTTATAAAAATAATGGTGGGGAGACAAATTTTAGCATCCAGCCAAAATCTACAAATATTGATGTATTGTTTCATTTATGTGAAAACATTGAATAAAAATGACATGTTTTACCAACATTCACTTTCATCAATTGAAAAGGAATAAAATCAATTAAGTTTTATCATGTGGTTGTTTTTTGTTACAAAAAGTGTAAAGTGTCATAGACCCCGTATAACTTTTCATTAAAACGACATAGTTACGTTATCGTGTATAGTTCATTTATTTTCTTTTCATATACTTTGCAGAAATTTTTAATAGTTTTTTTCCACAAATGTAGCAGAATCTATAGGGAAAGATTATGATTACAATGTAGAAAATCATCCTAGTATTGCTCAAATCAATGATAGAAATTATTAACAAGATGCCTTTAGCTTTGAACAAACATGACAATGTAATATATCTAAACTTATAAATAATCTAAATGTTAAAAAGGCCACAGGAGCGGATAAAATTTCAGCCAAATTTATTAAACTAGGTAAACCATCATAAGTTGAACCGTTGACAAATCTAATTAACATCTCAATTAAATCACATGCTTTTCCTACTAAATTAAAACAAGCACAAGTAAAACCACTTTTCAAAAAAATGACGCTATGACCAAATCTAACTATAGACCAGTAAGTTTATTACCTATTCCATCTAAACGTTTTGAAAAAAGTACTATTTGAACAACTCTCTGCTTATTTTGATGATATATTTGACAATTATTTATGTGCTTTTAGGAAAGGCCATGGGTGTCAAACTACTCTGTTAAGACTGCTTGAGGACTGGAGACAGGCCCTGGACAACAATGAATATGTGGCAGCAATTTTGATGGACTTATCTAAGGTATTTGATTGTCTACCACATGACATTCTTTTAGATAAGTTAAGAGCATATGGCTTATCAGGCCCTGGCACATACCTCATGCAGTCTTATCTGTCAAACAGGAAACAGCAAATAAAAATAGGCAATATTGTAAGTTCATGGGCCAATATATCCAAAGGTGTCCCTCAAGGATCAATCCTGGGCCCTCTACTGTTTAATATTTTCATAAATGACATATTTTTCTTTATAAACAATGTACTTTATATAACTATGCAGATGACAATACCCTTTCTTTTCGTACTAAACATTTTGATGAACTAATATGCACCTTAGAACAAGAAAGTAACTATCTTATAAATTGGTTTCATTTTAATAAAATGCAAGCTAACCCTGATAAATTTCAAGCTATTGCTGTAGGGAAGAAAAAATTCACTAAATCCCCAGCTTTCAAAATTAATACAAGTGAAATAATATGTGACGAAATTGTAAAACTCCTTGGCATTGACATTGACCAACAATTAAATTTTTATTTTCATATAAGCAATAAATGTAAAAAAGCTGCTAATCAGTTAAACATCCTCAAAAGAATAGGTCACAACTTAAATCAAACAAATTAATTTTTGTCCTATGTCATGGCATTTTTGTTCAGAAAATAATACTAAAAAGACGGAAAACTACAGGAAAGAGCACTTAGATTTGTCTATAATGATTCTAAGATATGCTGATAAAGGTTAATATACCAACTCTAAAAATAAGAAGAATGAGGGCTATGGCTATTGAAACTTTTAAGATATTTTCATGATATGTTTCCTGCTGTTCTGTCTGACCTTATTGTCAAGAAAATATCTGGTATAAATTTAAAATATTCAAATATTTTGCAGATCCCGCAAGTAAGAACTACAACTGCTGGTAAAAAATCTTTCAGGTATGCTGCACCTGCTTTGTGGAATTCTCTGCCTGACAATTTTAGAAAATGTTCAAATTTTGCTCAGTTTAAAAAGTTAATTTCATCCTGGAATGGTAAACAGTGTAAATGTATTGCTTGCAGCTAACTTCTATTTCTTTATTTACTTCACTTTTGTTTATTTTTCTGGGTATGAACATTTTTTTTGTCACAGTTATTATTTAGTTTCTGAGTATGTTTTTGCTTTAAATGTGTTTTTGCTTTTCTTCCCTGCATGATTCCAGCTTATTTTAATATTATCATTTAGTTTCTAGATAGGATGTTGCTTTATTTGTGATCTTTTGTTTTTTGCTTATCTTTCCAGCATGACTCAAGCTAGCTGTTATATGAGTTCAACTGTTGACTTACATGTATGATCCCCTCTGTCTTTGTGTATTTGTTTGATAACCCATAGTCTTTCATATTTAAATTATATATAAAAAAATGTTTGTTTTTTAGTATTTCTATTTATTTATTTATTTATTTATTTAACTATTCATTAAATTTTTAATTGTTTAATCGGTATATTATTGAACTTGAAGTAAAATATTTTTAGATACTTGACATTGTAAGCATAATTTAATATACAAACTAGTGATGCAAAATTAAGTAAACTATCATTTTAGTTTTTTTTAGCATCTGATTCATTTTTATAAAAATATCTAAAAAGGACTATTTTATGTATACATCATGCCTAATCAATTTTTATTGTAGCTGTTTTATCTTTGTTGATCTTATACTTTATGTTATATACAGTAGGTTATAAAAGCTCCTAGAGCTTATGTTGTACTGTTGTAAACTTGCCGACTTGAAATAAAACTTATCTTATCTTATCTTATGCCGTGGTCGTGCCCACTTATATACGAATATATGTTTCTATTGTTCAGTTTCATTTTTTTTCTTACAAAATTATTGTATTATAAAACATATCAATGAAATGTATTTCTTATAGTTAATTGTCACTGCCGGTCTTTTATGCGAATTCCAACAATGATGCATTTTAATTTCAGTTTATGAAAGTCAGATCGACTTATGAAAGACAGATCGACTTATGAAAGTCAGATCGACTTATCAATTTCATTTTATTAGCTCTGATGTATTTTAACATTTCTTTTGAAAAAAAACAAACCCCAAAAACAAACAGTTTATTTAACGCGCATTATATTTTCATTATACAGAAACATTTATTCTAACACAACCCGCATTTTTCCCTATTGAACATAGAAGAACCGAAAGTGTGTATTATTATGCAATAAAATCTCTGTTGACGTTCTATATTTAGACATGTGACGTAATCATTTTATACATGTGACATAACCACTAAAAATGTGACGTGCTGAAAATAAGTACGGAAACAAATCAGGTGCAATTTAGCTTAATATCAGGTACGGCAACATTTATTTGTTGATGTCGCGTTAGAATCGAAATAATATATCCAAATCTGTGATTTTATCGCTTGATAACATCACTGTTTGTTGTTCGGATGCGCATCATTATATCACTCGGGCTACGCCCTCGTGATATAATTCCTCGCATTCGAACACCAAACAGTGATGTTATTGAGCGATAAAATCACTGTTTGGGATATATTATTTCTTAAATTAAGTCTCAAATCAAGGTTTTTAACATGCACATTATGTCATATATTTGGCTTCACTGTTAACAAAATTGTAGTAAGACCATTGAAGGATATCTTTAATACATTATTACTATATGCCTATTTTTTCTGCGCTATATACAGAACCTAGGACACCTTTGAAACCGACATATAAATATTTGATACAAGAGAACACAAAACATATCGTTTATGAAAATATTACACTGTCTCGGTCTCAAATAATTCTAATCAAAGATAAGAACAGATAATTGTTTTATTAAAAGCTTGTACGTGGAACCTAAGCTACAAGTTGTGCAATATACGATTTGAAATAGCATAACGATGTGTGCACAAACATTTTGTCATATATATTGTTTGTAAATCATGTTAAATGTCTGCCCATACTTCCAGAGTCTAGGAATATATACAGTGTGAATGCCAATAAGCACATTACAAAAGAACAAAAGCAAAAATGTTTTTAATGCAAAAGTATGTGAATGTTTGCTCAGCAGCCCACGTACAGCAATATATCACAATATTTAGTTTTAAAGATATTTAGCGTCCACGACTGCAATTGTAGTCAATTAGCCAAAATAGATCACAAATAGTGGTTTGTGATAGCAATTATTTAAATGGTGGTAAGTATGGGAAGATAACCATTCAAGTTTGATATCATTATGTATAGAGTCAAGATTTGACAAAATGAAATATAGCTATAAAAAAGTTTTGTGTTTGAAGTCACGCAATTTTAAATTGATTATTATTAATCTATTATATATGAAACTCATGCGCTTAAAATGAATCATTATCAACAATTAATTAACACAGTGGCCTTTATAAAACACATTGAATATGCAAAATATTTTGAATCTACCTTCAACTAGTTTAATCCTTAAATAAGAAACGTTTAATGTTGAAAGTGTTTTTTTTACTGATTTTTGTCTTAACCAAAATAGATCCACACTGACTAGGATGTTCTGTTTAACGTTTCACCTTGCATGAGACCTAAATATTAAATATTACTAAGTTATAATATGTTTCCCTGTAGATATTGTAATACAACAATCACTCTAGAAAATAAACACCTAACGTCTGCGGCAGCTATAAAATAATGTACATGCTTTAAACTGCGATTAGTACTCTAGATTATAGAAACAATTCTGAATACAATGTAATTTGTCATTGAAAACTACACATAACCAAAATTTTCATATTCTCTCACTTCCGAAAAATCCTCATTGTGATGACTTACTTTACAAATCGATGTTTCCTTAAAGAATATATATTTCAATTAATGGTCCCCGATAACAACATTGGTTGTCGTTACAACGAACGAACCAAATCCGGAAATTTAATTTATCATCTAAGGTCATTCGTCTTCGATATCAAATCGTATGATATAGTAATGTGATATAGTAAGTAGATAAAGAAAACTTTTTATCTGTATACCGAATTTTTGTATGCAATTAACTAATGTACATAAAAAGTACTTTGCTTAAAATAATACGTTTTGTTTTCTTTGTTCGTATTAAACATTACAGATACAGGCTAGAAAGTAAGAAAGGAAAACAATGCATGTACAGCAACAATTGAACAATATAACAGAAGCAAGTATTTATAAAATCAACCAATGACCTATCTATTAGATGACCTAACATTTGTAATGAGTATCAAAGTGACATAAAGACAATACAATAACTGTAATTAGCACACATCATCGTAATTAATATGTTTATCTATAATTAGTATGACCTATAAACACAGTCAAACGCGTACGTAATAAATTATCCACCAACCACCATTGCTTATGGTCAACGTAATATAAACACTACACGCGAACGTTAATACTTACGTTACGTTAGGAAGGTCTCACACAGTCTATATATTTCAGTTCGCATATTTCTATTATATTTCTATAATGCTTTTAGTTACAATTGTCCTGTACATGTTTATTTTTTATATGTATCTGAAATAAAAGAACAATTTAAATGATAAATCGAACAATCTTTTTCAATAATACCTGTAAGCAATTAAAATAGTCTTATTGCATGCAAATATTGCATGACCATATTCTTTCTATTTCACAGAATAGTGTGGTTGAATATCTGCACAGCATGTAAGCAAATGTCCTTATTATTCTTAGTGCATGAAAGCACCAATAGATAGATAATCATAATACATTACCAGTTGAATATTAATATACCTGCATATTGAGGCGTATTACAGGAGAGGTTAATGATATTAGCCATATTTACTCGTTTATATATTTATATAATTAAATCGCAGTCTAAATGTAATGACAGCATCACCATTTATTTAATGTGACATTGTTTTAGGCGGCGTTATGGCTACCGTTATATTCCTATACCAAGTAATTTTCAAACTGATATAACGTTTGATATGTGAGACCTACCGAGATTGATGGTAGTGGGTTTTGATTCCAAGATTTTTTGAGTAACCTCAAAAATGATTGACATGATTGTGTCACATGACTGATGGATGAGAGGAGTATTTGGGTAAATGTTTCCTCAATCTGTGGTAATCTTTACAGTATAAATATGCTCAAACACCATTGTCATTCCGTATCCACAGCTTTCTTCACCACTACAAGCTCTCCTTGCTTAACTCAGGTAATTTTCTTTTTCTTTTTTATATTTATATGTTTTAAATAATATTTTGTATCGTAATGCACACTGATCTATTTTACGCTCCAGCCTTAAATAGTTAATAGATTTTGTGATATTTGTATTTTCAATGTATTTTTAATATATAATAATGCTAAAGAATTAAACTTTTAATGATAACGTATATTTAAGTCAACCTCGATATCAAAAAGTTCTTTACTAACAGCATTTGTCGTTCACCATATTTTACAAAGACACTATCTTCCCGTGAAATTTTATGAACTTATATTCAGTAATCGTTTTAAAGGTAACCCTTATTTTCATTTTTTCTTTAATTTATTTGTACATCTAATTCATATTTTGTTATTATTTCAAAAGTAATGAAATTTTGCACGCTTCACATTTCCAGATCTAAGACGATGAAGTGCCTCAGTATTTTACTGTTAGCCATTGTTGGTATCGCCAGCGTAACTGCTTATTACGGTCACCATGGCATGTACAGAGGTTATGGTTCAATGGGCTATCCGAGATTTGGTTATGGATCATTATACGGTGGCTATAGAGGTATCGGGTATGGTCGTGGCAGATATGGCTACCCATATTCTGGAACAGGCTATGGTTCAATGCTTGGCGGTATCGGTTATGGATCTATGTATGGTGGAATCGGTTATGGATCTATGTATGGCGGTTATGGATCAATGTATGGCGGATATGGATCTATGTATGGAGGATATGGACGTAGATATGGCGGATACGGATACAAACATGGAAAATACCCACACTACTATCCAAGTACGTACACACTAATTTTATGCTTTAAAACTGTAATGAAATGAACATATTTTTTTCCAGATAATTATCCTTACAGTTAATCAATCGGAATATAGAAAATATTCTTGACTTATTGGCAACACTTCATTTTTGTCTCTTTTGTGTTAGCTATATGTGTTGATAGTGATAATTATCAAAATTGTAACATACTAGCCTTTTCTCCTTCAAAGAAAATAAGTTTACACAGTTATATATGTCGCATATTCATATATCCATTTCTTTTTGTTTCAGGTAAGAAATACGGATACGACTATTGAATAATCCTGAGACACAATCCACTTGTTAATCCGTGCTATATGTGATTTACTTATCCCACACTTGCTGGACAAGTCTTAATGTAAATGTGTTGTGACTGACAAGTAAAAATGAATATTGTTTTAAATAAAAAAAAATCCATAGATTTAATTGAACATGCAATCTATCTCATATGTTAAAGACAAAAAATGAATAATTTGGTATCAAATTGAATGTATGTATAAATGTGTATGTTTTGTGCATTGATTTTGTTTTCAATTAAAATGTTTTATAACACATGAATCATGTTTGTTTTCTTTCTTGTTACTGTATGTTGAATAAGAAAAAGAGTTACTAAATTGTATTAGAAATCCATCCCATGTATTTTCATGTTTATTAAAAGTTTCAGTCACATAAAATCTGAAAACTACAAAACAAATTTATTCTCTGTACTTTATAATGTAAATGAAAACATTACAAATGAATAGTGTTAAAACCAAACTAAGGAAAAGGATTGTTTATTTTGTAAAATGCTATGAAGTATTTAAGCATACAACTGTTATGCAATAAATTTTGTATGAATCATAAAATGTAAATGGCAAAGTCAGTCTAAAAGAAAGCAACCAAGGACATATAATTTGGCTTCAAATGTAAAGAACAAAAAAGTTAATTGTTTTCGTATATATTTGATAAGTCAAAAGTACAGACAACCTGGTTCTTTTAATGAATGTAGATGGATGTAGTGATATCGGCCCATTTAAACAGTAATGCTAGCCAATTAAAAAAATTGAAGACTTTGGTTATAAACATTATTTTGGATATCTTGCCACAGATGTTTTCTTTTATTGTATTCATGTTTATTAAAACGAGCTCGTTGGAATATAATTTTTTCTGAGCAACTCGAGCGATACAAAACCCAAGAATAGCACATTCCTGTAGCATTCTCTATATATTACATTGAAGCATTGTACTGCGACATTTGCTTTTATACTTTTCTTTATTCTATCTTATTATTTCGACATTTTTAAGTCTTGTATAAACAATTGTGTGTCACCACTATGCATTTGTTTTGATGCAAGTTCAAAATAGTTTACTTTGAAGTGACCTTTGAAGTGACAGCACCGCTGGAACTTAGCCAATATTGTGATACACCTTTATTTCTAAAAAAAATCAATTCTTCATAGTCAAATAGCTCGCTTGCATGATCAAATACAATGGTATGGATAACGAGTACGAGTTTTATTTGATAGTTAACGGCATAACGCTGAAACAAAAAGGAGACAATTGGACCGTATTTTTATCCTTAAAAATAAGAATACGACATGTGACTTTCAAGTAAGTACAGCTAAATGTTAAACATATAAGCTGGACATATAGATATATAACCGGTACCGTTGGCCTAGTGGTAAAGGCGCCCGCCTTCGGATCGGGAGGTCGAAGGTTCGAGCCCCACGGGGAGCGTTAATTGAAGGATGAATGTTTCTCGTGGGACTCGTTCCGAAATGGCCGCTTCGTGAGCCGCGAGGTAGTTAAAATGAATGGTTACCGATTTCTATCCGCCTGGCGCCTGGCATAGTGGTAGGAATTGGGAGGTACATGGTATGCAACCAAAAGGTGTCTCATAAGTCAAAATGGCTGGCCCTTTCAGTAGGGGTGACACTATAATAAACCTTTTATAGATGAGAGACCAGAAACATTAACGCACATTTAACGTGGCAACATGTTTTGATTTTGCAATTGTGTGCTTGCAAATCTGCAAGTCGGAGACTGCAACCGCTCAACAGTCGATGTTACAAGTTTATTTTTGTCTTCAAAAATTACAAGCCAAAACGTCAAAGATACAAAGATATAAATAAGGAAATCGTAAATTTGTTCAATTTACTTCAATATTTATTCCAATGATGATAACGCAAGTGACATAAATACTTTGACGAAGGAGGATGTTGCAACAGTAAAGCAATTCATCAATGACTTGCATCCCAAATGGAACCATTTTGTTTAGAGACTTTGCCAATTACGATGTTAATCAATTTGGGTCCATAGACGTATTTTATATCACATGCTCTGATTACAACGTCTGTGCTTTTTATGGTTTTATTGTTTGCTATTGTTTTACTTTGATTATTTTTTTTATTTTATCATTTCATTATTAATTTGTTTATGAGGGATATTTATTAATGATATATAGTATTCCGTTAGTATATTGTTATAGAGAGTTAACAAAATATTAAAATATTAAGTATGTTTGAACCTTGTCAGTTTACAATTTATAGTTGTTCGCTCTCTTTTTGTCTGTCTTCATATTTCTGTTACAATTTTAAAAATATGAATAAATTGTAAAAATGTTAATTAATCGTTATTGCTATGTGTTGACATTAAGTTTGTAAAAGTTGTTTGATGACCACCTTGTACCAGCGACGCATTAAGCCTGTACTTCTAAACATTTTGAAGAAAAAAATTCGAATTTAGAATTATCAATATTATCAATATTATATCTTCAGTATCTTTAATTTATGTCTAGAAAAAGTCCGCGAGTAACGTTGAAACTTTACGCCATAAAGCAACTTTTATTCAGCAAATATCTGTATTTGACTAAAAAATGATCGTAGACCACTGGAAACCGCAACCATTAAAGCTGAAAAAAAATCGCCACGTTCTGCATATTTAAATTCAATCAAACAATAAAAAAATAAACAGAACAGAATAGAACAGACATTTCATTTGACTTATACATAAGTATATCTTCTTTATACATAAACATCAATGTTAAACATGTCATATATCTAGAACATATTACAAAAGTTTAATCATATGTACTGTAACATATATATTAACATATAATACATACATGTATAACAAAGACAGTAAAGTAATAAGTACTACAGCATCAGGTCATATCAATTATAAATGAATTTCGAATAACAAATTTCAGATATTTGCACAATTTAGCAATTTTATTTTTATTTTTTTGTAGAAGTAAGCAAACAATGAAATTTAAAATCAGATGGACTGACAAAATAAAACACATCTCTTGTGTTACAACATAAGCAAAATCTTTCGTTTCTTGGTAAATTATTACGGGTATAACTCCCTGTTTGTATTCTCAACGGATACAATGAAAATCTAAGTTTAACTAAATAAGTGCGTAATTCCTTTGTTAATAAATCTAAGTATATTTCATATTCAAGTGTAGTTTTAAAAATTCTATACATATTCAAGACAAAGTTTGTGTTTATATTACCATACCATTTTTGCTTAAAAGTATGCGTTAGCATTTACAGAACTAGGGTTCTCAAATACATTTGAGAATTCAAAGTTATCTTACATCCTCTAAACATGAGAAACCCAATTTGGATAACCGCTATTACAGTCGTTAACGCTCATTTTATAAACAAATCATATAATTATGTTATCACTCGAGCTGATTTAAAAAAAAAGTATTTTTAATACCCTAACATAGCAGTTTATATACAACGGATATCTTCCCAACTCTCTCTCCATATACAGCTGCATTACTAGAATTTAACCTAACTTGTAATGCTCGTTTGCAAAACTTCAAATGGATTCGTTCTAATTCTTAAGACTTTGTAAAACCCCATATTTCAGAAGCGTTACCTGAAATTGAGCCAACAAAAGCATCAAACAATTGGCAATAAATTCTAGGATTTAAGTCATATGTTTTACAATTATATAATAAAGTATTTATAGCTATAAGTCCTTTACCAGCCAAATGTTCTTGGTTCCGTATGAAACTACCCGTATAATTAATCATAGTTCCTAAATAAATATAATTGTCTACTGCCTCGATATTATGTCGCAAACGACCCTTTTTTCGAAAAACCACATATCACATCAATGGCTAGATAATATATGACTTCATTCAATAATTTTAAAGTACTCGTTTAAAATACAGTCACAACGAACCGATTTGTTACGTTTGATATTTAATTGCAATTAATATTTCATCAACAGTTATAGGACAATCTATTTCCGGATGTGCAAAGTTTTCTTCTGTGAAATCATAACTAAAACAAAATTGTCCAGCTTCACTATTATTGCAATCAGAAGTATTATTACTAAGTCTCTCGAAAAAAAAAAACATTTAAAATAATCTATAGAAATACCATTATTTTTAATTTTGTCATTATTTTAAAAATATTTCACAAAAATCTCATGGACGTTTACTCTTCATGCTTTCAATTTCAATCATTTTCTTACGGTACCCACAACCGTTTTCTTTTTGATTACTTTTTTCTATATAATAATTTAAGCTGACATAAATTAGCTCTATTTACATCAGGCTTATTTAAATTAAAACAATTTAACGCCTCCATATATAAATCACGTGCAGACGCACAGTCATTATCAAACCAGTCGGCATTTTTAAACAAGTATTTACAACATAAGCTGATTTATTATTAAAAGTAGATGCACGAGAAAAATACGGGTCCGCAACACTGCGTATAGCATCAGTTAAATTATCTACCAAATTATTCACAGACGTTCTACTTGTACAACCAATTTTATGTATAATGCTGTTGAAAACTGGCAATAATACCATTACAAAATTGACCACAAAGCGTATTATCCCACTTATATTTAATCTTCGTATATTTCTCGTGCAATGGTAACCAGTTATCACAACATTGTGAAAATTGTAACGGAGCATGGTCACTCCACTCATTGTAAAAAATGTGATCGATGAAAAATATCGGTCACTAGTTAAAACGTAATCAATAACGGAACACCCCTTATGGGAATAAAAATGTATGTTTACAGCTATCGCCTATTCTATCATCAATAAAAATAAATCGAACAATTTGAAACCAAATGGCCTATTGAGGCCCTAACAGAAGCTTGATTTGAACAATAATCTGTGTCATCATACAAAGTACATGTATTGATATTGTCATGTACAATGAAATCACATTTATTTCCAACCCTGTTTTTTAGGTCTCCTGAAATATAAAGTTTCCCTAGCAAAGAAAAGTATGATATGTCATTTTCAAGTATTTAAAAAAGAGTATCATAAACAGTCGAATCCACGCCCCATATATATGATGCACATAGAAATACGTCTTGGTCAATATTAAAAAAAGACATTATATTCAGTGTCCTTCTCTGTTAATTTTACAGGAAGTCAGTCTGATGACAGACGGACTTTGTCCGAAAAAAAAACCCTGGAAGTTTCGCTAGTGTCAGTGCAATAAAAAACTAATCCGAACAAAAGAAAACAAAAATGTTTCATTTAGATTAAGGCAAGGAACATTTCATTTGTTTCAAGTATTTGAAGTATCGAAAGTGTCCGTGAAATTTATACTTAGTAATTAATAAATAACAATTAAATAAAAAATGAATAAATAAAAAAATGCTTCCAATAGATTTTGTACACTTTAAGTGTCGCTTTTTCGATTGCTAGTGTTTTCTGAAAGTTTTATGTAAATGCTATCCATGCTAGGGACATTCATTTATTATACCACACAAAAGAATCATATTGAATTTTCATTAATATTATAAAGTATATGTCTTTAAACATTTTTCAGTGAGGTTTTACTTGGGAAATAGTTGAAATGTTAACTTGGCATTTATAAATTTAGAAAAATAAGTTGAAAAATAAAGTACTAAGGTAAAAGCTTTATATATTTGAATCTTTAAGAACGAATTGGAAGTGTTTAATACAATACAATAAAAATACAAACGTTTTCACTGAATTTTCAAAACTTTTCAACATTCAATTAACCGACGATGTAATTAATATAATGTTTATTCATCTAATAATTAATTATTTACAACGATCAGCTATTTTATGTTGATTGATCGGTACACGTTTTATGTGGCTAAACAGAAAAAAGAATGATCGTTACATGTCAATGGTTAAACATTCACACACATTGATTTAAAAATGTGGTGATGATTTAACAAAGAATTGATGCATCAGAACCTTAAACTTTACGAGGAGAATGAAATGAAAGTCATGTTTTGATTGCGAAACTTTGCGGTGCGGTGAAAATAGTTTTTTTTTTTTCAAGAGAACCCTTACTGATTCAGACTTAATTGATTATGTTTTGTTTGAGATTAAATATTCATATAAGTACTATTAGATGCAGCTACTCGAAATAAGAAAGAAACATCTCGTTTTAATTTTTTTCCTTACAACAGATACTTTACCTATGTCCAATTAATGTAGTATAGTTATTACTTACGTCAATGAAGTGCAAAAAGAAACAAATAAGTTATATAGAATGACGGTTTAATGCATGCTCTTTTATTGTCTTATTCAGTAAGTATTTGGCTAGATCTAAACCAACAAAAAATGGTAAGCAAAGTAACACTTTTGATGTGAAGGTCTCACACACTCATGAAATATGATGCGCTGTCAACCTTAGCACGAACTGTATTGAAAATAAGGAAATCATCGTATAGTTTCTTTTATTGTTCAGTGTGTTTTAATGAGAATTTCGGTGTATGCATTAAAATGACCTTAGGATTGATATGTGAGACATTCAAAAATGGTTATTTTTGTGGGCCTTTGATTCTAAGATTTTTTTAGTTACGTTGGTAACGTGATCGATCGAGGGACATTTTTGACAATTGTTTCCTCAAACTGTGGTTATCTTTTTAGTATAAATATACTCAGAAATTAGTAAATCTTTACATCTGCAGTTTTCTTCAGCAAAAGGTTACACAACAGCTCAAACAAGGTAATGTTCTTTTTTGTATTGACTTAATGTTTTGCTTTATACACATTTATCTTTACATATGTCATAACAGTACAAGATATACTACTAAGTATATATGTGTTTTAAAATATTGCGAAACTTTTCGACGTTAATGATAACATAAGTAACTGTCATTGAAACGATAATTAACAATAAATGAACGCCATACTTTCTTTTGCCTTGTTGACGTCATACCCTGTCCATACAATAAAAATAAAATGTAATCTGTTCTTAATCACATCTGGGGTAACAATTTTTAATACATAAAAAATTAAAACATATTTTTATTTTCTAAAGTTTTTCTTAACATTCCCTGTAACATTTAAAAATTTTTTCGATTTTTGTTTTGGGAAAAAATAAAATTTAACTCTTATTTGCTTAAAATTTACAGAACCAAAACGATGAAGTGCCTCAGTGTTTTACTGTTAGCCATTGTTGGTATCGCCAGCGTGACAGCTTACTACAGTCATCATGGCATGTATAGAGGTTATGGTTCAATGGGGTACAGATATCCGAGAATGGGTTATGGATCATTATACGGTGGCTATAGAGGAATCGGTTATGGTCGTGGCAGATATGGATATCCATATTCTGGAATCGGTTACGGTTCAATGCTTGGAGGTATTGGCTATGGATCTATGTATAATGGAATTGGTTATGGATCTATGTATGGCGGCTATGGCTCCATGTATGGAGGATATGGATCTATGTATGGTGGCTATGGACGTAGATATGGCGGATACGGATACAAACACGGAAAATACCCACACTTTTACCCAAGTAAGGAAAACTACCAATTTATTTAAATATTATCTTTTCTAAAACAATAACAGATACATACTAATTTGTTGTTTTTCTTAAAGTATTCATAACAGTGTTTAATAATTAGATTCTTTAGAAATGTCTTATTATACATTTGTATATTAGAAGATAACTTATAGTACTATGAGAAATTAATATGTTTCTCGAATGATACAAATTATCATAATATTTATAACAATAATAACTAATTGTTTTCTATTTCAGGTAAAAAATACGGATACGACTATTAAGATTAACGTGCTACAGCATCCATTTGTTTTTCCATACGTAATGTGATTATCGTACCTTATTGCTGAAAAACGTTTTTGAAAAGTTGTTTGAAAGAGATTAGAAATTTTAAAAATTAAATTTTTTTAAACCCCGGGAAAAAAAACTTTACTAAAAATAGTTCAACCCTACATTTGATTATACACCTATTAAAATTAAAATTAATTTTTCCTTCTAATAAAGCATGTATGATTTTATGTTGTGTGAAATTTTTTGCTATAAATTATAAAAATTTTTTTATTAAACGTATAAACAAAAAAACTTTTAATTTCTTCTTAATTCTAGTATGGTGAATGAATAATATAATGAGATATTGGGAAATTATATGGATATCCCATATTTTCTAATGATTTATTGTCATTATGTAATACATTGTATATGGAATTGCTTTATATTTGATAATCAAGTCGATTTCGACGACTTCGACTGATTCATGAAATGGTTGTCAATATATGTTTTATGCCATTCAACAAATGTCAAATGACGTATATCACTTGGCAAATAAAACTGAACAAATAGGAAAACTTCCAAAGTCGTTGCGTTTCTTTCTGTAACGATACAATTATATGAAATAAATACAATTGAGCCGCGTCACGACAAAACCAACATAATGGGTTTGCGACCAGCATGGATCCAGATCAGGATCCATGCTGTTCGCTTACAAACGCTATAACAAGTAGAAAAACTGATAGCGAACAGCATGGATCCTGATCAGACTGCGCTGATGCGCAGGCTGGTCTGGATCCATGCTGGTCGCAAACCCATTATGTTGGTTTTGTCATGACGCGGCTCAATTATCAAATGTTGAGAACGAACATACCACTTATTATATAATTAATACTATTTTTGACCATAAACATGCATATCATCTCTGTTATCTTTACCATCATCGACTTTTACGCAAAAACAGTGGAGGTAAGGTGTCCAGCGAGTAATAAATAATAATTAGTAATTTTATGATGTTGAAAAGTAAAAAAAAAAAAAAAATAATTCTATAATGGGAGATTTCAAGAGAGAAATGGGATTAAAAGGACCTCTCCAGAAAAATGAAATGAAAAAAAGAAACAGCAGTAAGAAGCAAAACAAAACAGTAAAGAAGTTGAAAATAACGATCTTGAATTTGTTGCGTCTGTTTATGCGTGGTAAAAGATAAGCTTTCGAAGCATTTTTACGATAAAAGTTGATAGCATTACATGACATCTTAAGCAACACAATGAATTAATTTATCTGTCACATCCAAAATGAAGGTGGGGTTGAGGTAGGCGTCGTTCTATGACCATAAAAAACAACAAATAATGTGACACTTAGCGTTGTTCCAACATAGCAAATTATATTGTCTGCTCCAAGAATTGCTACAATATAAGCTGGTTCCAATATGTGCTTAATCTAGATAATCAAATCGGTTTTCATCTTTTCACTTCTCCGCTTTAAAGACACAAACCGTTGCTGTTAACAACGAGGATGTTTATATGGAGGGCGTTCTTTGCCAAAATTCCAGACATGTAAAGTGTTCCTTTCTAAAATGACTTTTGAAAATGCGAACTTGTATGCCTACCATTTTTTTATTGTACCCGTGCATAGCACATAATATGTCTCTTAATTCAATCTTTTAATTGAAGGTTCCCGCCTTTATATAACAAGTTTACATATAGATCGTAACAACTGACCTAACATCTAAAACGACAACAAATTCACAAGTTCGTATCTTCCATTGCATGCAATACATATGCATGTTTGCACACTTATAGATCTGAAATATACAAATGAAATGTAAATCTTAAATGCAGAAAATAGAGTTTAAGAAAACGTGTTACCAGTTGTAGAACTACAACAGTACGTTAACACAGTAACATGTTTAAAATGACAAAAGTAGATTCACAAAGTTAAACGATTTTAAGTCAAGCATAGCGCCCCGCCCCTCTCTGAGTATTTACGAACTTCTATTGCGGACAGGTATAAAACGGCGCCTCTCCCATGTCTCAAATGTTAAGGACAACATACGGCATTTTTCATAACATACATGTATATTTGTTACATTTGTTACAAAAGTTTCGTCAATAGCAACATCACTTGAAAATTGCTGATTTTACCATTTATGATGAAGAAAACTTATGCATTAACTTATTATTTAACATTGTGTTTTCCTGAGAAACATCGGCGATATGGAAATTTTTAGGGGAAACAATGACCAACTTCAAGGGAGTAATTTTATTGATAATCTAAAAACCATCCAATATTTTTATTGGTATCATTGAAAAATATATTGGCACAAATTTCATTTTCAACAAAAACTATGCAATTATTTGCAAAAATGGGATTTTAAAGCGGCCACCGAGATTTCCTTTTCGAAATCAAGAAAATACTTATCCGTAGCACATATGTACAATCTTTAATAAGGTATTTTCTGTATGAATAAAAACTTTTTGCACTTGTTCATTATCCCTCATGTACAGACTCAATCAAACCGAGTCTGCAATTCTTATGTAATTTTGTTTTGATTAATGCTTCCGAGGGATCACTTTGTTTCCAGATTTTTATACTTCATAACAGCAGGTGTCAAGTGCCGTGTGGCAGCTGTAAAAAGTTGCCCCGTACTTCACTTCAGTGTTGTTATATTTTTCTGGTCATTCGGGATCATTGATGCCAGCGCTATTAAGTGTTTAGAATTGAGTACCGCTCAAGCCGGTGCTAGGGGGGCGTGAGGAATGTTGCACTTGTTCATTATCCCTCATGTACAGACTCAATTAAACCGAGTCTGCAATTCTTATGTAATTTTGCTGTGATCAATGCTTCCGAGGGATCACTTTATTTCCAGATTTTTAATGTACTTGTTCATTTTCTTTTTTGAATAAAGTATCTTAAGGAAGCGACGTGATTTTCTTGCCGAATATATGACTGTGGATTCTGCTTAAGCCGGTGATAGTGGGCGTGGACGGTAATTTGCACTTTCCAGTACCGTCCATGAACAGGCTCAACCAAACCGAGCCTGCAACATTTTCAATTTTGTTGTGTTGAACTTTCTTTAGGGATTCTGTTTTTCTCTATTTTAAGAGAGAAAAAATAAACAACGATAAGTTTGAAACAAAATTTTTAATACGTCTACGTAATTAAATTTCATTTTTAGGCATCACTAGAAAGTTCATGAAGGATTCTTTTACTTGAGTCTAAAATTATCAAAATTGACCGAGAAATAAAATAAAGAGTTAGTAGGGGGCGACATGTTTCTCTTACTGAATTTCAGAGTGTGCGTTTTTTTTTTACTTGGGGACCATGTGCCGTTTTTCATGGAATGGCACTTACTTGTCACATTGAAGGTTCCATGATAATCGCCATATTAACACTTCTGCGGATATTTCAAAATTAAAAATTGTACCAGTTCATGTTAAATGTCGAATTTTGCTTAAGCCGGTGCTAGGGGGCGTGGACGGTAACTTGCACTTTCCATTACCGTCCATGTCGTTTTGAGCGTTCTTTAGGGATTCTTATTTTCTCTATTTTACAGAAAGTAACATGATAAACTTTAAAACGAAAAGTTTATTCATTTTGATTTAATTCATTTTTATTTTTAGGCATTATATAATTATATATCATAAATCGTATGAAGCACACTTTTATTTCAATCCAAAATTATCAAAATTGATAACGAGATAAAAAACAAAAGTTTGGAGGGAACGCCGTGTTTTTCTAACCAATTCGAAAGTGTCATTTTCAGAGGAAAAATGATAGATTTTGAAACAAACATTTCAATACATCTATTTAATTCATTTTTATTTCTGAGGCACTCATAGAAAGCTTATGGAGTAATCTTTCATTTGATACCAAAAATATTTGACTTTTATAGAATTAAAAAAAGTTAGATTGGACGCCGTGTTTTCCTTCACTTAATTGAGAAATAGGAGAGAGGCGACGGGTATTATACCTGTCCGTACATTTCCGTAATAGAAGATTGTAAATACTCAGAGAGGGACGGGGCGTCATGCATGAGTTAAAATCGTTTAACTTTGTGAATCTACTTTTGTCATTTTAAACATGTTACTGTGTAAACGTACTGTTGTAGTTCTACGACTGGAAACACGTTTTATTAAATTCTATTTTCTGTATTCGAGTTTTACATTTCATTTGTATTTTGCAGGTACATATAGAGCAAAAATGCTTATGTGGAAGATACGAACTTGTAAATTTGTTGTTGTTCTCCATGTTAGGTCAGTTGTTAAGATTTACATGTAAACTTGTTATTTAAAAGCGGGTGCCTTCAATTTAAAGACGGGATTAAGAGGCATATCATTTGCTTTGCACGAATTTAATAAAAAATGCTAGACATACCCGTTCGCATTTTCAAAAGTAGTTTTCAAAAGGAACACATTACATGTCTGGAATTTTGGCAACGATCGCCCTCCATAGTTTAAAGTGTCAGGTAGTTTGATTTTGCGTACACTTTATCCAATCAATATATCAGTACGTGCAATAAAATAAAAAATGTAGTAAAACGCAAAACGTACAAATATACAATTAAAGGTCCATCATGTCTCAGAAATGATTTAATTTTTATTTCTCGAAAGATTTTCATTTTAGGTGTCCTGTTTTAATTTTAAAAAAGTTACTAATTGATTAATAACCTGATCAATCTTTTGCTCATGTTGCTTTTGGGGCAATTAGTACAATTAATAGTGAATTGGTATTTTGTAAGGAAGTCAAAAGACTTCTCTGTATATATTTTGCTACTTTTATGACTAATTTGTTTATATTTTGTGCTACTTTCTAAAGGTAATAAGCATCTAACATGCTCTTAAAACATTATTTAAATGTTATAAAACTCCTGTGTGCCCTTTCTAAAGAATGAAACAAATATTTGTTTCTGAGGCATAATGTGCCTTAAATATTTATATACATTTATGAATTCTCATTTCAAGAAAATCAATGCTTTAATTATTTGTCAGAAATATCCCTGTGCGAAGAAATCTTATATTTCTCTGTGGCCAAGATAAACTTGACAATTTAAACATAGTTCTTTAAGAAAATAAATTATGTTTGGTAAATAAAAATATTTTTGATCATAAACGAACAATATTAAAAAAAAATCTAAAGACAGATAAAAGTTGAAATACCTTCGGCTTTATGAGTTCAAATGACTATTATGACAAACTAAATTCAAATATATGAGTAGGATAAAGCCATAACTATGTGGTTATACTTTTTCACTATAAAGCACTCTGCAAATATATATCGTTTGACATGCGACCCATTAATAAAACTGTATACTTGCCTAATAGGCTCAACAAAAATATATAGATACCTGTTTGTTTTTGTGTAAGATGCAATTTTATTTCTTGGAATGAGCTTAAAAAACAGTATTCTCACGAGTGGCGCACACAAAAAATTTTGTTCTCTTTATTTCATGCTTAAACAAGTTTAAATGAAATTTCATTAATATTAACTTTAATATCTAAATCTGTTTTCCCCACTGGTAGCCTCATTTAGCCGAATTTCTCATATGATTTAAGAAATTTTTAGCTAAATTGCGATGATATTATTCATTTTATTAAAAACATAAGAATGTTCGCTTGTTTTAATAATAAAAACAAACGATTCTTATAGAAGAAAAAGTAATACAATATCTGACCTTCTTTCCGTTACTTTCGGCGGAGTTATATTAGACCAGGTTTTATGTAATGTAAGCGGCCGCCATTTTTAAAGTTGTGTATTTCTCGGGAGGACGATAATTGTCTTTGATTTAGAGGGATATCATTTGGATTTGTAAGTCATACACCTTTTTATAAGAAAGAAAACTTACATGGGGATTGTTACAGACAATAATTAATTATTGACAGATGTGTAAATTAAGAGCGGCTAGGAATTTAGAAAATATGAAATTGTTGAAAGACTGTCATATGAACACTGGGTTGTTTTGTTTACTTATTCTTAGGGCTGATGACTGTCGTTGCTTTTCAAGTTTTCATATTGCATTAGTCAGTTATTGCTTGTAGGATACTTAAATATGCCCAAATGTCATCAAGAGAAGTCTTGCGTGTGGAAGGAAGTGTATTTTTCAGACTAAAAATAAAAAGAGACGGTATTTGGTGATTGGTAATTTGAAATAATTTAAGTAATTTCTTTTATTACTTTTGAAATTTAAGTTTTTTATCAATTTCAGCTGTGTTTTTTATTTAACATCCCTGACAATGTCAGAATTGTAAGCAAAAATGAAATTGAGGTATCACACGGGGAAAATCTTTAAAAAGTAGTCTCATCTTTTAATAGTGTAAATGTATATTTTGATAATTTTCACTGTGAAATTATCAAAAATAATTTTCACGGATAAATTAGTAATCAACTCAAAAGCAAAAAATAAATTCACTTACATTTGACGGTATATCTTTTGTACATAATACTATTCAAAAAGGATAACTCAGATGTTTGGTGCGATCAGAGTTTCCATGTGGTATCTTTACTTATTTACCATTGGTATCACTAATTACCACTGGTACCACTTGTTAAAAATGTACTCTGAACATATTTTATTATACCAAGGTCATTGGATGAACCAATGGTACCAATGACACCAAGATCAAACAATAGCACCCACAGTCTTATGATCTTGATCATAAGTTTGGTCCAGATTTATTGTTATCAAATAAGTATTGCTATTGATAATGTAAATGTGAAATATTATTTCAGCCGTTATGATCAATTAAGTTCAAAAAATAAAAATGAAAATGAAAATAAAATAATGATCTCCATTTTTAGTGACGTTATAAATAAAGAAAAACTTGAAGCCAACACTATCATAGCACTGTCTGTCTGCAAATTATTATACCGATGGCAAATTTTGGAAAATTGTGTGTATTAACATTGGTACCTTTGGCATGTCAATAGTAAATAAACCTACCAATGGTTAAAAAAGGATTTACACTGAACGCACCGAACATGTGAGTAGACATAGTCAAAATTAATTTTGTTTGTATTGAGTAAATATTATAACATCTGAAGAAAGAAGACTTATTGGCTTTTCGTAGGAGATTTGATCATCATTTGCACATCATTCTTTTCTTAATATAAACATAGATACGTTTGTATTTTCCATTTAAGTACAATCTGAACATGTCCTTGTATATATAAAGCACAGTTGTTTTTCAAAATAAACTACACTTCACAATAAAAAATTGCTCGAAGGGACACCTAAGCAAACATCATCAAAATTTGCTTTATAACATGAACCGTGCCGGTAATAGCGCCAGTAACAGCGCCAGTAATAGTGCCCGTGAAATATCAAACTTAATTTAACAAAACAAAAAGGATTCTATAATTTATGATTACAAAGCAAAAACAACAACAATAACAACAACAAAAACACACAAAAAAAAACAACATAAAAATAAAACAGCGTTCGCTTGTTTTGAATACCGGTATTTATAGAATTTCTTATTTATGAGTATTTACGTTTTACTTATTTTTCTTGCTTATTTCTTACATATTGATATTTGAGAAAATATATTTCTTCAGTACTGTCAAACTACAATACCATACAAAATATATCATATTAAATTATTATACATACCGGTACTTTATATTATCTTTTGAATAATGCCAAAATAATAATTCAGTGAGGAAATGAACGTTTCCAGAAAGTAGAAAACTTATACAGTCATTTTGTGAATCAACAGAAAAAAATAGCTGACGTCATTACAGAGACATACGAAAAAAATGTATTTTTATCTTATACTTAAATCTGTACTTAGATTAAGATAAACTTTGGTTAAATTTTGATAGATCGGTGCATGTTTTGTGTTGTAAATCTGTCTGAACAATTTAAATGAATGGTGAAAGCATGACTTGAACATGAAAATTGTTCACAATTGAAACATCTATTAAATATTGCGGTTATGGTCTGTCAAAGTTTTATTTTGACATATTGAATCTTAAGCAATCATCAAAATAATGCTATAATTTGTAATGTTTAGTTTACAACTCACTGAGATGAAGTTTTATTAATTCTGGTTTATCGAAATCGTGATTTGAGCTTTTAAATTATTATGGTCTGCTTTATTAGATATAGCTTTTGAATAAAGTTTCAAGATTCATATAATTGTAATAAACGATATTGTCACGTAAATAGCGAAATCATATTATCCGTTGACTTAAATTGCAATAGATCAACAGATACGATGACTTTCTTTTATTTACGTAGAATACACAATATTTACGTAACATATATTATTTACATAAGCCATCCAGCATCGATAAGTGATAATAAAGACACATTTATTAGTCTCAGTAATTATGGGCGGTCTTTTATTGTCTTATTTAGCAAAGTTTGGTTAATAAAGTCACTTTAAAACACAATAAAATCGCCAAGTAACGCCTGTCGTTGTAAAGGTGTCACATACTTATCTAAATGCATATACAGTATGTCAAAGCAGTATAGTCACTAGAAGACGTTAAGTTTAACAGTACTAAATGATTTTATTGATCATGTTTTAAATCTTTTGCAAGATATACATTGTAATTATGCAACCTATTATGTGATCTTGGTAAAGCACTTTTATGATATTAAGTACATTTTCATAAAAAAGTACTTTTATATAACAAAAGGACCACATTTTTTACGGTTGGTATGTGAGACCTTCGATGAATGATTATCAGAATCGTGGGCACTTAATTCAAAGATTTTTTGAGTTACCTCAACAAATGACTGATGGTGACGTGATTGCTTGCGGGATCATTTAGAATTGTTTCCTTTATCTGTGGTAATCCTTAGAGTATAAATATGCGCAAAAATAAGTTATTATCAACATTTGCATCTTCCTTCAGAGCAACTAGGTTATACAGCCACCAGAACAAGGTAATGATCTTACATATGGTATTGTTCGAGGCAAAGAATTGCAGTATAAAAATTCAAAAATTAAATTTTATGTATGTTTTAATTAATATTACTAAACGATTACATGTTATATAATAACAGTTACTTTTAAAAAACATATATACGTTAAAACTTTTTCTAAGTGTCTCAGTAGTCATTATGACCATTATCTAACATTACAATACATATATATATATATGTATTATATTATTACTTGTAACAACATAGTACTTTACACATAAATAAACTGTTCTTCTTTTTCTTCTATTCTGAATATATTATACATGTGTAATGCATTGCATATGTGTAATTATTCGGAAAAACAACGGCATGGTATAAACCTAATTAAAACAGCATATAATTATGTAAGAGAAAGCATCAATATTATACGTAACTACACTAACATGGATATACAAAATTAAATAGGCTTTCATTAAGAGCAAGGCTGATATATATGGTCAATTATCTAATTAGACATAACAATTCAAAATTAGCTATGTCTTGCTTTAGATTTTTAGGAATATACGGTTTTTAATTTCTTTTGTAAAATCATTTTCAAGTTATATTTTCTATTACAGAAACAATCAAATTTTGATTTTGTTTCATTTAATATAATGTTTTTTTCTTGGAGATTTTTTTCTATTGTCTGTTTAATATTTACAGATCTATAACGATGAAGTGCCTCAGTGTTTTACTGTTAGCCATTGTTGGTATCGCCAGTGTGACAGCTTACTACGGTCATCACGGCATGTACAGAGGTTATGGTTCAATGTATGGTATGGGTTACGGATCATTATACGGTGGCTATAGAGGTATCGGGTATGGTCGTGGCAGATACCCATATTCTGGAATCGGCTACGGTTCAATGCTTGGCGGTATTGGCTATGGATCTATGTATGGTGGAATCGGTTATGGATCTATGTATGGCGGTTATGGGTCGATGTATGGAGGATATGGATCTATGTATGGAGGATATGGACGTAGATATGGAGGATACGGATACAAACACGGAAAATACCCTCACTACTATCCTAGTACGGAAACTAATTTGATGCTCTGATCCAAAATTAGTTTAGATGAAATTTATACATCTTCTAAAACAATAAAGTCATACACTTATTTGTCATGCACTTATTTTTTTATTTTTTAAGTTATCATATTTAAAGTGATTGATAATTTGATACTTTAAAACTTTGATATTAGAAAAATCTTTTAATACGTGTCTATATTATAAGATAATAATGATCATGTTCAGTACTTTTAGAAAATACATATATACATATATATTTTACTTTAAAGCAGCACGCCTCCAGATTCATGCTAATTTTCATGAAAATTTTGAAAATGTGTTTAAAAATATTATTTAGTGAAATAACCAAAAGGAAGCAATTTACAAATTATCAATGGCACTTACAGCCCACGTAAATTACGAAAAAGAGGACAAAATATGCAAAAATAACCCCTACTGCCTTAGTAACGCAGTAGATTATAGTTATAAATACTGAAAAATCAGTCATTAATCCCACATAACATTTAAATTATTACTTGCATCTTGAATATTTTTACTTTTCCTAAAATCTTAGTACATTTTTCTCAAATTTGATTTTATTGAAATATTTTCGCTCATCTGGAGGCCTGCAGCTTTAATGATACAAATATTATTATTTCTTCCAATAAAAAATCGTTATTATTCTGTTATTTTCTGTTTCAGGCAAAAAATACGGATACGACTATTAAGATGAACGTGCTACACCATCTATTTGTTTATCCATACTTAATGTGATTATCGTATCCTTACTTGCTGGTCAAGTCGTTGTGAAACTGTGTTGTGATTGAAAAAGAACTAGAAATTACCTTTTTTAACATTTTAAAAATTGACCACAAAGTAAAACATGTAGTTCAACCACTACATTATACATTCAGATAAAATGATTTATAGATTTTTTTTTATATGTATGTATGTATCAATGTTGATGTTAAGGGCTGTGTAAATTGTTTTGCTATTAAATGAATAAAAGCAATAATTATATTTCATTTTTTTTTTTTTATAAATTTTAGAACATTGAAAAAATAAAGAAGTGTTGGAAAAGTATGTGAGATGTCCCATATCTATTCTTACGATTTAGCAGGAGTGTTCAACAAAATGCACATAGACCATTATAGTGTTTAATATTGCAAATGACACGGGGAAATGAAGATTATCTGGTAGATAAACATGTTAGCTCTACATTGATACCACATTCATTAAAATCCGTTCACTTTAGCTTTTTTATAGTACACTCGTATACTGTATAACAAAATGGTAGGTAGAAGATATAACAATATGCCATTGAAATAGGTCTTAAATTAAGAATTGCTGTCTCCTTGGTGAAGGGTGTACGGATATCTTTTTAATGAAATCTGTTCTGTATATCGACACAATGAAATGCCTTTTGAACACTTAAATTCGTTTATTTAATAAATTCTTATGAAGACGCACCGCATCGCTGTCGGTCTAAAACAGCAACGCCTTTCAAGATGGTTGCTTAAGAGAAGGAAATAGTAAATACCGACGCAAGATACACCACTAGACAAATATCTAGTGCATCTCATTAAGAAAGGTTTTATTACATTCTCAAACGTATTTTAAAAATCAGATAGATCTGTGCTAGATTGATTCAACATACTGTCTTTTTTCATTTTCATTGTTCATGAAACATTAGGGTTGCTAAAGCCAAACCTGCTTATGCAAAATTGCACAAGACAAAAGTTCTTCGACAACTTAACAAATATTCTCGACCAGCAAGTGATTTGACAAATTTTAGGTTGCTGCATGACAAAGCGTCGTCGTACAAGGCGTCTATAGTGCAATAAATTCTGAAGCAGAAAACAAGTTGTTGTGCCCCACCCACCTCCGTTTTTACAACGAACAATTAAGGAACGTTTAGTCGGTCGGTCTGTGCCGCTTTTTGATTTTTTTAAAGAAAACTAACAATGTACTAATATAATGTACTAATATGAATTAATTTTTAACTTATGAAAATGATCTGGTGATGAATTGTTAAAAAGACAATTTTTGATGTTTCGGGAGCACTGCAAACAAAACAACAGGTAGTTGAAAATCACCGGCTCGGTTTTATTGAGTCTGTTCATGAAATATAGGGCCCTGAAGCTTTTTATTACCCCGAAAGCAGTGGTAGGCACATAAAGAAACTATAGTCCCAGTCCCATTCTATGGCTTCTTACATTAGGTCATATAGGCATAAGCATTGTCGGGCATTTACGATCAAATTATATTAAGTACGTATTTTAGACATGAATGGATTTCATTGCAGGCATATCTTATCAGCCCCTTGTTTTGATCAGGACTGAATTCTAAGCTTTACATATCTTACACAGTAAAGAATTTAGTTTTGTACAACATATTGTATACATGGTTTTGAATATCGCTACTCTTCCAAATGAATTGAGCTAAAGAGGCTTGACAATATAATTTTGTAACAAACTCCCATGACCGTTAAAGTTATATGGCGGTTAGACCTCGTACTTTCTGTAACATTTATTTAGCAAATTTAACAAATCATGTTACCACTATTCGCTGTTCCAAACTAGCAAATTGTATTCTCCGCTCAAAGCATTGCTAGATCATGAGTTTGTTGATTCCAATAACTCATTAGATGGAAGCGCATTTACTATATGTTTTAATTAGCTTAACACTCATTATCGTTTCACTTTTCTGCCTAAGCTGTTCTAAAGAAATCTTGCAAACTGAGGCCAATAATTAACTCTTTAGAAATAGTTCTCTTAAGACGCTGTACAAATCTCATTTTTTATATTTGTAGTATTATTTATTTATATCCAAAAATGAATAATTAAAATATGGACGATAGAAAGATATAAATTTGAAATTATATAATTATATAAACACTCGTTATAATGCGGTTCAATTTATAATCATTCGTTATAAACTTTGCATTTTTACAATACTAGTTCTACGATTTGATGGCATAATATCAATGAACTTTAAGATTGAAGGCCAATCATTATTTGCAAAATGTTTATGTCGTAAATCATAATAAATAATGGTACTCAGATTCAACTGATTGTTTGGAAGGTTGAATGTCGCTGGAAAAACATACTCGATTAACCCGAGTCTGAAATTTTCATATACATTCGTTGTGTTCTTTGCTTCCGAGGGATATCCCCATTTGTTCGGATTTTAGCATTTATAACTGAATATAGCTTAAGCCGTTGCAAGATGGGGTGTAGGGAATGTACAATAAGTAATATTGAACTCTTTCTTTTGAGAACGCCAGCTGACAAAAGTATAGATGTTTTTTAAAACCCAATGCAAACTGGACCCTTGAAGCAAACACCAAAAATGCTTGAATGTTACCTTATGGAATGAACAGCGTCAGTGTAGAAACGCAAATAAACAAATCAAACGTATTTTATTATATACTCTTTCAAAAATAATTCAGAAGTTTTTAATGCTTGAGAAAAATCCTGCGTATAGATGCGTCACTAGATTTTCTTGCTACTTTATTTTATAATATATTCTTGTCTGGGAAAATACATTTCTTCAGTAATGTCAAATTACAATGCCATACCAAAATGGCAATATTCAATTTAAATGTATAGTACTTTTTCTTATGTAACCAGCATCTTTTGAATTTTCCTTTGGTAAAATCAAACTTCCGTGGTTTATTTAAAATAAGTACTAATGCTAATAAGTTTTAAAATAAATATGTATTTTTTGATGATGTGTTAGATGTGCAATATCATTTCAACCTATATGATCAATTAAGTTTCACATAACAATGAAAATAAGATAAAGATCGCCATATTGAGTGACGTTATAATTGAAGAAAATCTTAAAGAAGAGTGAGTCTTGCCAACACTACCATAACACTAGTCGGTCTACAAATTTATCTACCAAAGGCATTTTTTTCCGTTAACATTTGTACCTTTGGTATTCCAATGGTAAGTAAACCTACCAATACTTACTGAAGGGTTTACCTTGAACGCACGCAACGTTTGAGTAGACTTTGTCAATATAATTTTGATAGTATTGAGTAAATATTAGCACATCTGAAAAAAATACTTCTTCGTTTAAATTTCATTACCTTTTGGTAAGATATTTGATTATTATTTGCACATCATTCCTTTCTGAATATAAACATATATACATACATTTGTATTTTCCATTTAAGTACAAATTGAAACATGTCGCAAACGAGACATCAAACTAAATTAAAATTCTATAATATATGATTACAATAAAATCCCCCAAACATTCATTAATGAGGACGTGTCAGTAGATTTGCTTGCCAATTTATTGCACACTGGTGTCTGGAAAAATACATTTCTATAGTATTGTCAAACTGCAATACCATTCCAAAAATACCATAATAATTTCCCATGTACACTTTACATTATTTTTAATTAATGCCAAAATAATCATTCACTGAAGGAATGAACGAAAAATAGGAGAAGATATAATTAAATTTCTGAAAGTATACAACTTTAAAAGTAATACAGTCGTTTTGTGTATCAACAGAACTGACTTCTTTACAAAGACATACAAAATAATGTACTTTTATTTTATACTTCAATCGGTACTTAAAATTACGGAATTCCATAAACGACAGCCTACTGTTTACTGTCAACTGCCTACTGTTAACTGCTTACTGCTTACTGCCAACTGCCTACTGTCAACCTGTTACTTTCAACTGCTTAATGCTTACAGCGACTGTTTAATGCTTATATACTGTTCATTGATGAATGCCAACTGTTACACCTGTCAAATACCCGATTAACAGCCTGAAAGTAAATGTTGGCTTTTTACGTACTTCTTCCAATGTGTTTATATGTTACAATGAGGCCGTTTGAAACAGTATTGGTCAAGGAATTACAGTACTCTTTATCATTTATGAATACTTTGACTGAAACCTTAATTGGGACTTCGTTACATTTATAAATGTACATGTATAATTCTCGTTATACTAAGCAGAAATATAAGTATACATCTTTGCAGGCATCTGGAACTTTTCCAAATCATAGACCTGTTAACTTTATAAAAATGTTATCCAAATTTTTTTCTGTCATTAAATCTTGTTCGGTAATTTTGAGCTACCAAATAAAACTGCTTGCTGAATTATTTATACATGTATATCCCTGTTCAAGCTTGTAAAAGACAGTCATTTAGATACATCTACCATATATAACATGTATATTATAATATTTGTTCATTAAATGATATTGACCCTATCCTATAACTATATAGTGCTTAATGATATTTTTAAACGGAGCTAGGCCTTGTAATGTCATGAACGTCGTTGTTTTTACATTTAAATTACAACGGTCAGTTTTATGTTCGCATTTTGAAAATAATGCTATCATATTTTGTTCGAAAATTATCTAGATAATGGTGCTCAAAACGATTTTCAGACAAAATTATATATACCAGTCACATCTCGGATTACCAGTAGTTCATTCTGATAACCGTTAAACGTACTGGGAGAGTATACACACTTCATGGTCCAACCGTTTAGTTGTATCTAAAAAGTTAATACTTGTTCTGGTGATTGTAGACCGTACATTTATACCTTAATTCTACAAAGCCTCAAGAAAATGTTTATTTAGTAGATGTTAAAAAAATATTCGACAGAAGCATGATGACTAACATGTCAATTAGTGTGTTATAATTGGAAAGTCGATGCATAATAAAATCATTGAAAGATCTTTGAGTTACTTGGGCATTATTATTTAATACAAAGGAATGTTAGTATTTGTTTAACGATATGATGAACAGCGGTATCCTAAATTTGAGGCCTTCCGCATGTAATTCTTAAGTTTTTGCAGTTTTGCCTGTGTTACATTCTGATTTTTATAACTTATGATAAAGGCATTAAAACAACAGGAAAGAAAACAGATTAATCAATATATTGCTGGACGGCCGTCTTTTTATTTCATTGTCTTTAGGTTAACTTGTAAAGCTGTTTAGAAGTGAAATATTCAGTTAACTTGCCAGATATTGGAGCTTCAGATGTATTTCTTATGGCACTAATAATATAACGTTTATCTTCATCTTCCTAATACATACTTTTCGCGATCCTATGCATTTAAAATTGATGGACTTAGGCACTATTTAAATGTGCCTTAGTTGAATATTGTTTTTTCCAACTTGGTCATGTTACAACAAACAAACTTTGCTTCATGGTTAACATATATATAACCATTTTCATTTCATTTTGTCATTATTTTGTTTTCCGGGGAGCTAAACATAAACAAAATTACAAGAAAATTATGATATTTTATTTTTAAAGAAAATTTTTATTTACAATTAAAATGAAAAACAAAAAACACTTATTGATTATAACACCACATAAAAAGTATGTTTAGTCCCAATAATGAGACCAATAAGCTAATATTTTCTTGTATACACCGTTATTTAAAAATAAAAATTATGACACACTTGTAAAAAAATCAAAATCTATATAAAATATTTGTACATGTAAAGTTTCGGGGAAAGTAATCAATATAAAAGCAGAATTATAATTCAAAGTTCTGTTATGAATTATATAATTGTTATGAGATTAATCATATTAATGTAAATATACTCTGCAATATAAAGTTATATATACGTTGTAAGAAAGGTAACTAAAAAATGCTTCATAGTATGCCATAAAAGCTCTACACTATCACGATGTCTTAGAACTGTTTACCTTAGTTGTCAAACTTCTGGAACCTGATAGAAATAGTAAATGATTCTGGCAAGTACGAAGGCAGATTTGCTCATTGGTTTTACTTGCGGTAATTGCAAAAAGAAATAGAAAAAATAACCAACCTTAAAGTTCACTTTTAAGTGTGTTTGTTAACAATATAATTTTAAAAATTATATAAAAGATGGATTTAAAACAAACACGTCAAAAAATATATTGTAACATTAACATATAATCATTTTGTCTATCAGAAATTTTTAAGTAAATTTAAATAGTTAAGAATCTATTATTTTTCAGAGTTTTTCAATAGCACAATGACTTTTTATAAAAGTAAAATAAGCTGATCCCAGCTGTAATTTATCACATGTTTGCACTCTTTATGTCATTGAAATATTGAACGTTTTTGAAACAATTTGAATACAGCCAAGTTTGTCTTTGTTTATGCTTTCAGAAGGAAGCCAGTTAACCTCGTCTATAAGAACAAATACATTTATGTAGTCCTTTTCCTCTTCCACTGTAATTTCAATATTTTCATACAGCTGTATTGGTTCTGTTACTTGTCTGTGAAGTCAATGAAAGTAAAGGCTGTTCCTCCATTGAAATGTTTCTGTCAGATTTATCATCCTCTGTACTGGAATAAAATTTATTCTATAATTAACCATCAAAGCACATATCTTTGCAACATAAACTATCAAGAGTTGCAATCAACTTAACATAAATGCATAACATAACATCTAATAAGGAATTACACATTTATAAGCTATAACTAACAGCCAATGAAAACTGAACCAAAATGATCTCGTAAATGAACTCACACATGTTTGATTATAAGAGAATGTTTAGCCTAAATTTCACCAGTGATTTCACCAGTATATTACAGATTTTCTTCTAGAAATGTTGTCAAATGAAAGTTTAATAAACTATGAAATTCTAAATAAAATAAGGGAGTGTTGACATAATGGTCCAGATCTCCGCCTCTCAACCGAGGAATAGTGGGCTCCGGCCCGTCCATGTTGATTGTTGAACACAGATTCTTTGTTAATAATTTATTATTAAGTTGATTTACCCTAACATGAGTCCTATATTTGACAATTTATCAATCACCTGTGCAAGAGGCACGTGGAACCATTTCATAACATAATCAAAGCAGTGTACAATGGTGGGACGTACACAAGTCATTGCAATGAATTCGAAATTACAAATTATTAGGCTATAAAATAATCTTTTTTAATTTACTTACCATTGTTTTCCGTAAAGTTTACCTTCAACAAAATGGCGGGCGCACATGTGTGTACATTCGGAATACTTCTATTTGATCCATACATAGATAAGCAGTAAGCAGTAGGCAGTGAGCAGCAGGCTGTCCAGTTAGCAGTAGGCAGTGAGCAGTAGGCTGTCGTTTATGGAATTCCGTATAAAATAAAGATAAACTTTGGTTAAATTTTGATTGATCGGTGCACGTTTTAAAATGAATAGTGAAAGCATGATTTACAAATGAAAATGGTTAACAATTGAAACATCTATTTAATAGTGCGGTTATGGTCTGTCACAAACAAACTTGACATATTGAAACTGTGCACAATCATCAACATAATGCTATAAAATGTAATTAATTCTGGTTTATTGAAATATTGAAACGATTTGAGCTTAAAATTTTTATTACTCGCTTCTTAGTTATAGCTTTTGAATAAAGGGTTAAAATTAGTATACATTTTTAATTGTAAATAAAGGATATTGTCATTTGAATATCAAAATCATATTATTTGTTGAATTGCAATAAATTAACAGATACGATGACTTTCTTTTATTTACGTATAATAAACAGTATTTACATTACATATAGTATTTACATCAACCTATCACCATTAAAAAGTTATAATTAACATAAACTCATTAGGCTGAGTAATTAGGGGCGTTCTTTTATTGTCTTATTTAGCAAACGTTTGGTTAATTCAGACACAATAAAATCGCCAAGTAACGCCTAATGTTATACAGGTCTCACATACTTATCTGAATGAATATATGTCAAAGCAACATTTAACGGTACCGTTGGCCTAGTGGTTAAGGCGTCCGCCTTCGGATCGGGAAGTCGAAGGTTCGAGCTCCGCGTGGAGCGTTAATTGAAGGATGAATGTTTTCCGAAATGTCTGCTTCGTGAGCCGCGAGGTAGATAAAATGAATGGTTACCGATTTCTATCCGCCTGGCGCCTGGCATAGTGGTAGGAAATGGGAGGTGTATGGTATGCAAGCATAAGGTGTTTCACAAGTCAAAATGGCTAGCCCTTTCAGTAGGGGTGAAACTATAATAAACAAGACTTATATTCACTAGAAAAAGTGACGTGTTAACAATGCTAAACAATATCATTGATCACGTTTCAAAACTTTTGTAAGATATGTATTGAAATTATACAACCTATTGTGTAATCTAGATAAAAAGCATTTTTATCATATTAAGTATATTTTCATAAAAAATGTATGATAAAAAAGGGTCACATTTTTACGGTTGATATGTGAGACCTCCGATGAATGATTATTATTTGAATTTTTATCAATCGTGGGCACTTAATTCTACATTTGTTTAGTGACTGATGGTGACGTGATTGCTTGCATGAGTATTTAAAATTGTTTCCTTTATCTGTGGTAATCCTTACAGTATAAATATGCTCAAAGATAAGTTATTATCAACATTTGCATCTTCATTCACATCAACTAGGTTAAACAACCGCCGAAAAAAGGTAATGATTTTATACATGATATTGTTCGCAGCAAAGAATTGTCGAATAAAAATTCAAAAATTAAATTTTATGTATGTTTTAATCAATACTACAAAACCGTTACATGATATATAATAACAATAACTTTTGAAATGCATATATACGTAAAATCTTTGTATCAGGAAAGAACATGTTTATTTGTAAAGGAGCGTCTTAATAGTCATTATGACCATAATCTAACATTATTTATTATATTATTACTTGTAACAACAAGGTATCTTATGTGTACAAGTTGGAAATAAACTTTTCTTTTTTTCTTCTATTCTGAATAAATTATACATCTGTAATGCACTGCATGTTATAATTATTCGGGAAAACATTGGCAGGGCACAACCCTTACTATACCAGCATATAATCATGAAACGGAAAGCATCAATGTTATACGTAACTACACTTACATGGATATACAAAACTAAATGGGCTTTCATTGACAGCAAGGCTAAAATACATGGTCAATTATCTAAATAGATATAACAATTCAAAATTATCTATGTCTTGGTCTAGATTTTCGGAATATACAGTTTTTAATTACTTTTGTAAAAGTATTTTCAAGTATCGTCTTGAAAATTATATATTAAATAAAATTTTGATCTGATAATATCGCTTTTTTAGGATTTCTGTCTTTTCTATTAGTCTATTTAATATTTACAGGTTTAAACGATGAAGTGCCTCAGTGTTTTACTGCTAGCCATTGTTGGTATCGCCAGCGTGACAGCTTACTACGGCCATCACGGCATGTACAGGGGTTATGGTTCAATGTATGGTATGGGTTCGGGATCACTATACGGTGGCTATAGAGGTATCGGGTATGGCGGATATGGCTATCCATATTCTGGAATCGGCTATGGCTCAATGCTTGGCGGTATGGGTTATGGGTCTATGTATGGCGGAATCGGTTATGGATCTATGTATGGCGGTTATGGCTCCATGTATGGAGGATACGGATCTATGTATGGAGGCTATGGACGTAGATATGGCGGGTACGGATACAAACATGGAAAATATCCACACTATCATCCAAGTAAGCAAAATTATTCGGTGTTCTGCTCATAAATTAATTCAAATGAAATTTACACATCATCTCAAATAATAAAGTCATACACTTATTTATTATCTTCAAGTGATCATAATAGTGTTTAATAATTTGAAACTAGAAATTATTTCAATACCTATATAAGTAGATGCTTATGATCAGTACTATGACTAATATAGTATACATGTATATATCACTCTAATAAATACAAATATTATTATTTGTTTCAATGATAACTCGTTCTTTAATGTTTCAGGTAAAAAATACGGATACGACTATTAAGATCAACGTGCTTACCATTCTCTGAAACACCATCCATTTGTGTATCCATACTTAATGTGATTATTGTACCCTTACTTGCTGGACAAGTCCTTGTGAACATGTGGTGTGCCTGAAAGAGAACTAGAAATAACCTTTTTTCAACATTCTACAAAATTGACTATCAAGTTAAACATTGTTAGTTGAACATACAGTTCAACCACTAAATTAAACAATCAGATTAAATGATTTATAGTAAAAGTTGCTCCTTAAACTATATGTATGTATAAATGTTGATGTTCATTGTTTTGTGTATTGTTTTGCTATTAAATGAATAAAATCAATAAGTATGTTTTATTTATTTTTACACTTTAGAACGTTGAATAAATAAAGAAGTGTTGGATAAGTATGTGAGATGTCCCATATTTATTCTTACGATTTTGCAGGAGCGTTCAAATATAAATGCACATAGAACATTATAATGTTTAATATTGCAAATGACACGGGGAAATGAATATGCGTAGGTCTTATATTAAGAATTGCTGTCTCTTTGGTATAGGGTGTAAAGATATTTTTGATGAAATCTTTTCTGTATATGGACACAATGAAATGACTTTTGATCACTTATATTCGTTTATTTAATAAATTCTTATGAAGACGCATCGCATCCCCGTCGGTCTAAAACAGCAACACCTTTCAAGATGGTTGCTAAAGAAAGAGAAATAATAAAAACCGACGCAAGATACATCACTAGGCAAATATCTAATGCCGGTGGCATCTCATTAGGAACAGTTTATACCATTCTCAAACGTGTTTAAAAATCCGAAAGACCTGTGCTAGATTGTTTCCGAATAGTGTATGTTTTCATTTTCATTGTTCATGAAATATTTGAATAAAAATATGTTAAATTTAAACAAATCTAGCTAAACTCTTTAATGCTGCGGACAAATAAACAAACAGTACTTTGGTTGCCGAAACATAGTTTCATTTTTTAGCAAAAGTGAAAACGTTAAAATAAGATTTGGATTAAAATGACCATAAGTATAAAGACGGTAATGTTTGCACAGCGGCTTGCCACTTAGGTTGGGGTTTCTTCAGGTAAACCTGTTTATGCAAAATTGCACAAGACAAAAGTTCTGCGATAAAAAATAAATACTTTCGACCCGCAAAAGATTTGGCCAATGTTAGGTTGCTGTATGACAACGCGTATTCGTACAAGGCGTCTAAAGTGCAAGACTTTCTGGAGCAAGAAAAAAGTTGTTATGCCCCACCCCTTTTCTGTATTCACCTGACCTTACCTCTTGTGACCTCTTTTTGTTTCCAAATCTAAAAATACCTTTCAGGCCGAAAATTTTGTTCAGCGCAAACACTTCGCTTAAAGTTACATTTAATAAATTTCGTAAAAAATTAAATAGCGACATTTCATTAATAAAATGGGTTTTATATCGACTCCAGGTCTTATTTTGGTGTCCAAACAACCAAAATGAGTTTTATTAGCATGAAAATAGGTAACCTCATTGTGGCGAAATGGGAAGTACAATTTCTGTTTGCATGAGAAACTCCGCCTTCGGATCATCCGTACATCAATATTAAATCAACAAACATGACTATAAGTGGCAGTCCTAATTTAACGGTATATTTCCGCATTGTAACGGATATTTTCATACAAATTTAATCTTTTTACGAGATGATTACTTTTACTGAACCCCAGGTTTAGTGCACCGTGAAGCTTAAACGGTAAAACTGTGTTAGCACAAGAAGATATCACAATTGCTGTGTTCCGGATAGCAACTATAAAACTCTGACGAAGCGCATACACGAGCTCATTATAGTCTTCATTTGCATGTTAAAATTCGTATACGAACTTTAGTGTTACCATGGGGTTTCCCGTTTAAATTCCTAATTTATGAACAATATTTGATGAGATTTACAACAATACTATTCAACAGGTTAATGAAACTGTAGAATGTTTGATTTTTAGGCCGACGGCAAAATATTTTTACATATTTATTTAATGTAACTTTAAGCAGTATTCTAGTGTCTTCATAGTTGACCTAAAACAAACTATGAAAATGCCTTCAAGATCCGGATACTGAAACTTTGTATATCTGTTGGAGGTTAACACTTTGAGGTAACAAAATAATAAATTCAGTGAAACCTAGGAAGATTTAAATTTTACGTGCTTTTATTTTTGAATCGGTCATATAAAAATTACAAAAGATGATTTCAAAATATTTATGAAGACATCTTCCATAAAAGCGTGACGGTAAAATAACACCAAACTCTAAACAGTTAATGCAGTCTTTGCCGCTCTTTGAATCTTTTAAAGAGAAAACTAACAATGTACAAATATAATGTACTAATATAAAATATGTGTTAACTTATGCAAATTGGTGATGAAATGTAAAAAGACAATTTTAATGGGACATCTCTCGGTATCAATGCAAACAAAAACAGGAAGTTGAAAATCACCGATTTGGTTTTATTGAGTTTGTTCATGAGATATAGTGTCCTGAAGCTTTTTATTACGCCGAAAGCAGTGGTGAGCACATTAAGAAAACATCGTCACATTCCATGACTTTTACATTAGGTCATCCAAACATAACAATTATCGGGCATCAATAATCAGATTATAGTAAGTACATATTTCGTATCAGAATCAAAGATGAATGGATTTCACTACAGACATACCTAATCAGCCCCTTGTTTTAATCAGGACTGAATACTAAGCTTTACACATCTAACACAGTAAAGGCTTATAGTTTTGAACAACATATCTATTGCTAGCGTCCGCGCCGAAAAGCGGCGCCCCTTAAGGAATGAAATCAGATTTTGTGAAAGGGCGGCAGCAACTTCTCGGGCCTTTTTGTCGGTAATAATAGTCGATCATTCCGATTGGTAAGAGGGTTCTTGATTATCAAAAACGACATGTCGCGAACAATGAATAGCGAACTGGAGAATTTCGCAATGCAAACATATTCAAATGAAATTATCTTACGCGCTCTTCGGGGTTTTTTATTAATCATTTTTTAGTACACACAGTGGGTTATTGTGTATTGTTGTACCTATAAATAGAATAATGACCTTAACATTGTGAAAGTCCGAAAATCTATTTATTGAAGTAGTTTTAGTTTAACGAAACGGTCATTCGTGTAGCGCTATGGTTATAAATAACGAACCGGAGAATTTTGCAGGAAATGAAATTTGAAAAATGAAACATAATTCAAACAACTAAATACATTTTGGATATTATAGATCTGTATATTTTGGATATTTCCTATGGAAAAAAATTCTAATCTCTAGCATGCCTACCAAAGTTCATGATGAATAATGTCTTTCGTCCGCCCGTTCATAAATATTATTCAATTCTGGTAGAAACCAATTAACCATTGAAAAGTTTATAAGAATATCTGGTCATCAGATGTCTACTAGTTCATCTTCACTTGCTGCATTTCTTGCATGGACGCCCTTTGATGCTTTACATCAATGCTTGTATATATGTTGTTTTTATATTACTTTACCCACTCAGCCAAAAAAAATGTGTTAAAGAGGCTGGGCAATATATTTTGGTAACAAACACCCATGACTGTTAAAGTTCGTATGGTAAAAGGCAGTGAGACTTAGTACTTTCTGTAACATTTACTTACAAGATTTAACAAATCATGTTACCACTATTCGTTGTTCCAAACTAGCGATTTGCATTGTCTGCCCAAAGCATTACTAAGGCATGAGGTTGTTGATTAGATTGAAGCGCATTAACTATGTGTTAAATTAACACTCATTATCGTTTCACTTCTTCGCCTAAGCTTTGCTATTAATCACGATGGTGTACAGAGTGTGAATATTTCTATTTTGTTTGACATGCTGCACATCAAAGACGCCGACAAATGAAGTGAACAGTCACAGGTAATGTACAAAATCAGAATTGAAAATCGTTCTCTATTACAGTTGAATATCCGAAGCACTTATTAATTTTTTCTCCATGTCCTTGGTATGTGTCTGAAATTCTGAAATGTTTGTCTGTTGCGACAAAAATTGAAACGAAGCAAAATAAATTGGATAACAAGTGAAATTGAAATGATTGGTAAACTTAAAAATAAATTCAAGACAATATGTGCCTATGTCCATTTAAATATTGGTGCGAATTGCATAATGTTCGAATGATTTTGAGGACGAACTGTCTGTTATTTTACAAATAGCGAAAATATGTCTGTAATATCAAATAATAGTTATGAATAATTTGATATATATATATATATATCACGAACTGTCTGTTATTTTACAAATAGCGAATACTACTTGAAAAAACAAAAGATTGCATATTCGCCTAGAATCTAGGTATTGAACCACAAAATGTTTTAAAAAATCTAAGCAAAAGAGAACAATCGTCGGTCAAAGAATCCTTCAAAATTACCTATTGCAAATATTCGTGATACGTTTTAAAATAAGCGTACTTTTTTCACTCAGTTAATCTGTTTTGTATCTTAAATGTTAATTATTTAAATGAATAACATGCCGCACACGTTTTGCCTGTTTTGCAAAAAATATTTCCGCTGTGTCCGTAGCGCCATAATAATATCCGTTGCATATTTTAGTGATACCTCTTGTTCCTGCCTGCCATTAGATTATAGACGGGTCTCAACGGGTTTTTAGAACGATCGACTATAGACTGGCTCATTGGCACGTTATTTATTAGGTAGATAAAATAAGATTATTATAAAAAGAATATGCTATTCAAACATAACACTATCACTTCAGTTAAACGTTTATTTTAATCCTTTAAAGCTCTGTGATATGTTGTACATCAGAAAAGCTATTTTTATTAGAAAATTTAAAATCTAATATTTCCCCCATTGATATACGTACAAATGCATATCTACTAGACGGCGCGTGCATTAAGTAATTCGAATCATTTTGATAGCTTCTCATTTCATTTACTGACAAATCGGCATTTCAAATGCCTTTGACAATTTACACATACTAAATATGGTCAAGACATACAGTTTACATAAATATTACACAAATAACTTAACATTTAATCTTTGAATAAAAAATAATCACCAAATATCAAAGATTAAGAAAATTTAAACCCATAAAGAAAATAAAATCCAAGAAGCAGCATTATTTTTAAGGGTTAAAATTCTTAATTAATAAGCTTCCGTTATATACTTTGCATTTTTTTTTTACAATACTAGTTCTAAGACTGAAGGCCAAGCATTATTTGCAAAATGTTTATGTCGTAAATAAAAATATTTACTACAGCATAATAAAATGGTACCCACATTCAACTGATTGTTTAGAATATTGTATATAGCTTAAACCGTTGCAAGAAGGGGTGTAGAGGATGTTGCACTTGTATCATAGTTTGGGGACCTTTCTGTTTAAAATGTGTTAGAGTTTAATCGTATACATATACATGCACAGTGCGTTAACTGGAATGCAGGTATTAGTTACCCGCACTCCAGAGCATGCCCATTGATTGGCTCATTTTTGCTGGGGTTTACTTATTGTGACGGCAGAGAAAGGGAAAGCGACAGAAATGTCATATTTAGATGCTAGTACATTAGTTCCTTTATTCTGGGGTTTCATATTGTGATCACAAGGAGCGTGTTTTTATGTTTGACTATGATACAAAAGAGAAAGAACATCAAAACACTCGGCAAACTGATAAATACTCGGGGGCTACGCCCCTCGTACAAATCAGATAGCCTTGTGTTTCGATGCCTTTTCTATTACTTATCCTCTAGCTCTCATGAACATACTCGATCAACCTGAGTCTGAATGTTTCATATACCTTTGTTGTTTTCTTTGCTTCCGAGGGATATCCCATTGTGTCAGAGTTAAGCATTTATAAATTTATCTCATATGTATAATTGAACTCTTTCTTGTGAAAACGCCAGCTGGCAAAAGTACAGATGTTTTCCTTAAAAAAACCCATGTGTTAGACTCAAATACTGCAAACTGGACACTTGATGCAAACACCAAAAATGCTTGAATGTTGCCTTAAGGAAAGAACAGCGTCAGTGTATGTAAAAACGCAAATAAACAATCTTATTAGTCTTATTATATCTTTATTCGAGAATAATTCAGATATTTTTAATACTTGAGAAAATCTTGCATATAGATTTTCTGGCTAATTTATTTTATAATATATTCATGTTTGGGGAAACACATATCTTCAATAAACTACAAACTACAATACCATAACAGAAGGACACTATTCAATTTAAATGTAATCAGCATCTTTTGACTTTTCCTTTGGTAAAATTAAACGTCGTTTGGTTCAATTAAAATGCGGAATATAAATGATATGATATATATAAGTAATTATGTTAACTGACATCTTTAGCGATACATGTATATTTGCTATATATATATATTTATGCATTATCTATTTTTACTAATGTAAGCTATGTTTTTTTGTTCATTTTGATTGACTGGTGCGTGTTTTGTACTCAAAGCATGAATTAAACGTGTTAATGGTTAAACATTCATGCTTTTTGTTTAAATGTGGTTATATTCTATCAAAGAACTTGACTTATTGAATCTTATAGAGTTTAGCACGTTTTGTTTGTAAAACGCTGCGGTGATTTTTTTTCAGAAATCGTGAAACTTTCGGGCTTTAAATAATTATTGTTTGTTTATTTATAGTTTTTGAATCATAATAAACAATTTTTTTCTTGTGTCTATAGAAATTATATCTTTCCTTGATTAACATATACGATGACTTTAATAAAAAGTAATTGCCATACGTATATTGTATATATAAACCAATTAACAACAAAAGTAATAATTAAGATAAAGTCATTATGGTAACTAGTTGTAGGCGTTCTTTAATTGTCTTACCTAGCAATCGTTTGGTTAATTCAGACATAATAAAAGTCGCCAAGTAACACCTTTTGTTGTAAAGGTCTCACATACTTATCTAAATGAATATAAATCAAAGCAATATATTCACTGGGAATTTAGTGTAAAAAAATGTTTTTTAATGTTTAAGCCTCTTGTAAGATATGTATTGAAATTAACAAACTATTTTGTGAACTAGTGGAAGCACTTCTATGATGTCAAGTGTATTTTCATTTAAAACATTTTTATATAATAAAAAGGACCACATTTTTTACAGTTGATATGTGAGACCTCCGATGAATGATTAATTATTTAATACCCCAACAAATGACTGATGGTCAAGTGATTGATTGCAGGAGTATTTAGAAATTTGTTTCCTTAATCTGTGGTAATCTTTACAGTATAAATATGCTCAAAAATAAGTTATAATCAACATTTACATCTTCATTCAGACTGAGCAACTAGATTAAACAACCGCCTAAACAAGGTAATATTCTTTTATATTGTTCACGGCAATCTTTGCTTGTTCATATGCCATTATTGTGAACATTTATAAATTATTAGAAATGAGTTAAGTCAATACTATAAAATGGTTACATGGTATATGATATCATTTACTTTTAAAATACATATATACGTAAAAACATTGTATCAGACAGTATTATTTTCTGCACTTTAGTGTATCTGGTTTGACTTATACTCTTGTCAATAATCATCGACTTAAATAAAGTCAATACGCCTTCATTAACAGCAAGGCTAAAATACATGGTATTTTCTAATTAAACAACAAGGTATAACTATTTAATCATTTCAAAGAGACTCACACTGAAAGTTTTTTTTCATGTACTGCTCAACTACAATTTATCTTTTATGTTTGTGTTGGAAATAGTAATATTTGAAATCTTACTTAATTTGACATTATTTTACATTTACAGATCTAAAACAATGAAGTGCCTCAGTGTTTTACTGTTAGCCATTGTTGGTATCGCCAGCGTGACAGCTTACTACAGTCACCACGGCATGTATAGAGGTTATGGTTCAATGGGTTACAGATATCCGAGAATTGGTTATGGGTCATCATTATACGGTGGCTATAGAGGAATCGGTTATGGTACTGGCAGGTATGGTTATCCATATTCTGGTATCGGCTATGGTTCAATGCTTGGAGGTATTGGCTATGGATCTATGTATGGTGGAATCGGTTATGGATCTATGTATGGCGGCTATGGACGTAGATATGGCGGGTACGGATACAAACACGGAAAATACCCTCACTACTATCCAAGTATGATTTGGTGTTTTGATCCAATATTAATTAAGATGAAATTCTAAAACAATAATGTTCTTATATTATTTTGTTGCATATGTAGTCATAATGCTTTTTGATAATTTGATACTTTAATAATTTCTTTTAATACCTGTTTTTATTAGTAAATAATTATCAGTACTATGCGAAACATATTTGTTCCAATGATAACTCGTTGTTTTCTATTTCAGGTAAAAAATACGGATACGACTATTAAATGAACTTGCTTACCATTCTTTCAAACACCATCCATTTGTTTATCCTTACTGAATACTATTTATCGTTCCCTTACTTGCTGGACAAGTCGTTGTGAAACTGAGTTGTGTAAAAATAACATTTCTTTTTAACATTATAAAAAATAGACTAACGTTATATAGTGAAATATCATAAGTTAAACATGCAGTTAATTCAATGCATTGATTTATACAACCTTATTAAATAATAAATAGTTTAATTAGCTCAAGTTTGTATGTATGTATAAATGTTGATGTTAAGTTCTGTGTGTATTGCTTTTGCTATTAAAAAGTACAAAACAAGAAGTATGTTTGTTTCATTTATAAATAATTCTCGTATGTTAAATGAAGCCATATTGTTACCTTTCTATGATTATTGAGTCTTCAATCTCATTTGACCACTAATGAAAGTTGATTGTGCCACCTTTAATGAATAATTCGGACTCCAAAGCTACATTGTCATCAAGCAATTCTTTCTTTATGTCTAGTATTTAGTCACAAAATAAAAGTGACATTATGCCCATCCTATTGTAAACTGCGAGAGTAAAGGTGAAAGTCTTAATAACTTTAATTGTTTTCAATTTTATATTTCAATACGCAAAAAAAGAAATTATGTCATTCTGTTAAACTCAGACTTAAGTCAAGAAAAGGGAGGACTAAAAACAAGGAAGCATAATAATAATAATAACACTTTTACTGAGGGATCAGACACGTCAAAAATACAACAATCAGAAATGATAATATGACTAAGAATGCAAACAAAGTATACAATAGAAAGTAAGTCATATTAATAAGCAAAGCATAAATGAATACAACAATTCCGCACATCAATAATTAAGCATCAGAATAGAAAAACACTTTAAATATCACATTATTAAACAAAACATAACACATATCAAAACACAAATAATACATTCACATTCCAACATTTAACATAACACAAATAATACATTCACAATCCAACATTTAACATAACACAAATAATACATTCACATTCCAACATTTAACATAACACAAATAATGCATTCACATTCCAACATTTAACATAACAAGCAATAATAAAAATGGGTGGGAGGGAGTGGCGAAATTGAAGAACAACCAAAAAACGACTGGTAACTAAACGTGTCTGACAAAAACTGTGCAGATTACGCGCAATGTTGAATATTTATAGACGGCGTAGGAATACAAAAATTCAATGAACCAAAACAGGTAATCCAGGTAAATACAAATGACATCATCAAGTCTAAATATAGATAAGGAAAATCCTATGCCAATCCATAATTAAAAGATTTTCTATGGAGAAAATGCTATAAATTATGTCATTCTGTTAAACTCAGACTTAAGTCAAGAAAAAGGAGGACTAAAAACAAGGAAGCATAATAAAAAAACAAAGCAAATAAACATTTCACAAACACAAGCACAAAAGAAATTTCAAGTGACGTTATCTCCCATGAACATAAGAAATGACATTCGAATGTCACAGTAACTATAAATTAATGGAAATAAATCCAAGCAAAGATGCAGTATATATCAAGTTCCATAATTTAAATTAATTCAACTAGAAGATAATGTCACTTTCAAAAAGCACAATTATAACAAAAATAATTCTAAATAAACTTACAAGAAATCTGTCTGATAAATTATCCTAAAATGTAAAAAACATATTACGTCATAACATAAGTTCAGAACATTGATCAGGCAATTGAAGCCAAGGTGACCAACAAATAAATGTTAACATACTGACATAGAGACAAGATGTCACGTAGGAGATCAAAGGTCAAGAGCATAACTACTACCCCTTAAAACCTTTGAAAACATGTGACTAAAATAGCCTGCATGCCAACATTCATTTGCCGCCTGTTGACCTCTTAAAATGACAATTTCTACTTTACATGGCAAACTTGCCCTTAACAATATGTGATATAGTGTTTATGAAAAAACTTTTGAGGACATCTGTTCCAGCAAAATTAAGATGAAGTCCCCCATCCCTAACAGCATAAAGATTCCTTTTGGGGCGACCCTTAAAGAAGAACGGTCTATACGATTTAATAAACTGACAATTTCTTTCCTTACATTTTAATTGCAATCTTTCATTGACCAATTTAACCTTTTCATTAGTGACATCAAAATCGACAGGTCTAGGTAAAATACTAGATACTATGATATGCGCAGAAGGGTTGTGTATCCAAATAACATTAAATAATTCATTAGTTAATCTAACTATATCATCAACTGAAAACTTTTCCTGCGAGTTAATATTATTTGGTCCGACGTGTAAAATCATATACGGAGCTATAACCAAACTAGGATCCGCATTTATTTGATCAATCATCATTTGCAATGTGTCTTAACGGGATAACTGTATTGAACCATATCCCTTTAATATATTTGGCAATTGAATCACTCAGAATGTGAACTCGTACATCTGCAATGAAAGAGATGTACATTAATTCATTTAAAAGTAATTTTTAACATCAGTGAACGAATTTTCTGAATTAAAAAGTGGTGTCAAACATATTGGATAAAATATGTACTTTATCTGACCAATCTAATTCTAAATAATGACGAAAAGCATCTGATTTCCAGTCACCAATTAATTTTATACTTTCAGGAGAAATGTTAGAACGAAAGGCTAATGTAGCAAAACCCCTTCTAAAGGAATGCGTGGAATATAAATCTGGATTTAATCCAATATTTTCAATACAAAGACGTAATTTCTTTTGAAACAGATAATACGATATATACGACCCGTCTTTTAAAGAGAAAAATAAATCATTCTGTCTATGAAATTTTAAACCTGTCATTAATTCATAAGCATAAACTGGACATAACTCTGATTCTTTCAATCTAAGTAATGGACTAATTACCTCCCTTTCTGCAAATTGAATGGTTTTCGACCAATTAAAATGCACTAAAATGTAATTACCAAAATATTTGATACAAGTGGTGCTTAAATATCTACCTTTGACAATATCTGATGAATTTGTAGGAACTAAATTAGATTTCCTGGCCACTAAAAAGAAAGCAAATAAAAATAAACACCAGTAAACTATATTATCTTGGTCTGAAAAATCTAAAGAAGCATGTATGCTGCGTAAAATGTCTAAAGTGATGGGTTCTGCACGGTTTACAGATCTAGGATGTAAACGATTTATTCCCCTTAATGATAAATTCAGCAAATAAGAATTGATATGATCAATACTATAACCCAGTAACAAATGTAAAGTTTTAACCCCTGAAATATAATTACGTATGCTATCTACTGATACGAATGTTCTACTGAGAAATTGAGCATATAACTGCAAAGTTGAAGTTGAGGCTGGTAAGAAACGCAATTTGAAGTAAATACAAAACATCAGGAAACTCTCCCATTGTATTTTCAGATTTTTATTTGTTCCTTCGGCAAATGATGATGAAATAGAATGTCTAAGTTCCTGCCGCAAAGTCTTAATCTCTAAATCTGAAACAAGAAGTTACCAATTATGAATCATCGTAAAATGATCCTCAGTGATATTAACATCTGTTATTTGAGAAATATGAGACACCTGATTAAAAAACTCAGAAACATACAATCTATCCAAATGCCATCTACTTAGACAATCAGCTATACGATTTCTATCACTACTGAGATGAGAGGCCTTTAACTGGAACTCATATACTGATGCAATGAAACAAATTTCTCTCAAACATTGTTGTAAAAAACAACTACGAGCTTTACCTGTGTTTATAACAATACAAACAGCTAAATTATCACAAAAAATATTCACCTTTTTCTTACACAAATCAGGTCCCCACAACTTTAATGAAACCAAAACTGTTAACATCTCTAAACAAGTAATGCTTAAATTTTGAACCAATATGAACTGTGGAAAAACACTATGAAAGTATTTATTTCCAAAGATGCTCCCACAGCCTGTCAAACATGCATCGGAGCTGAAAACACTATCTATCTGAGACCATTCCCCATAATTTATCAAGGAAATTCCATTATACATGGGCAAAAAGTCGTTCCACCAATATAAATCTTTTTTAACTTCTAAAGGTATCAAGATATTCTGATTAATTCCTTCAGCATAACACTCTCGTAACCTATTCAGTATTCGGTTAACGAAAATCCTACTTGAACGTACACAAGCCCCTACAAAATTTAATTACCAAGAAGTTTTTGAATGTCCTTTAATGATGCTGAATCTCTATCCAACCAAGATTTAACCAAACATTTTATTTCCTTTAGCCTTTCCTTAGTAACCTCCATTGTCATACTATCACTATTAAACAAGACACCTAAAAATCATGTTCTTTGAAGGTGGACAAGCTTTATCCAGAGCCTCCTCTATACCACTCCTTATAAACAATTCTCGCATCAAACCAAAGGCGAATTTGACACTTGATTCGTGCTCAACACCTGCAAAATCATCCAAGTAATTTAAACAAGTCAAACCGCAATTCCACATCATAAACGCAAACGCATTTGTCACTCTCTGACAAATATGAGCAGATGACCTAAGTCCTATTGCTAACACAGTATCGAAAAAGATGTGTTTTTTTCAAAGCAAAACCTACCAAATTGTAAGCTGAAGGACAAATACTAATTTGCCTATAAGCTATCCTTAAATCTAACTTATACATCATACAACCTTGACCTTTAGCCTTAATTAAAGAAACAAAATCATCAATCTTGGGAAAAACAAGATCAACCTTTTCTCCAAGATACCAATCCTTAGACACATAATCATTTACCCCTGTTCCATCTTTTGGAAAACTTAAATCTAAAATTACTCTCCTGTCATTAGGATTTGACTTTGGAACTGTATTCAATGGAGATATCACCATACCATCCTCAAAAGGACAAGACGAAAATGGTCCAATAATTGCCCCATGAGATGCTTCTTTTTCAAGATATTTAATCATGTGCTCCGGATAATTATTTGCTCCAGAATGATTTTTAAAAGTAACAGCTTTAGAAAATAGTAATGAATTATTTTCTAATTCTAATTCAATTGGAAATCCAAATCTAAGCAAGTCACAAACTTGTGTATCAAAATAACCAACCAACATCCGTTTCATAAAATCAACATCAATTTTCTCATTGACTGGGATTTTAACTCGAAATTAAATTTACCTGAAGCTTTGACCTGTTCATAGATACGAATTTTATTAACAGTGCTATCATTTAAAACCGGCTTCAATGAAGCACAAATCTTGCAACTTCTCTTATGATCACTAATAGCATCACAACTATGATCTACATTGAAAACCTGAACCTTGCGATTCAAATCGGAATGTTTACAAAATTCTGGCAGGAA